CATGTGAATTTAAATAATAACAATACAATAATGAAAAAGCCAGTTTGGTCTGGTGGTTCAGGTCTTGCCTAGAAACTAGGAAACTAGGCCTTCCTTAGGTGTGAACGTTAGCTGGGTTTTGGGCCAGTCAGATTCTCAAGCGAATACATTTCACAGAATTGTTGTTGGGAAAATAAGAGGCAGGAGTAAGAGTCACTGCCTTGAGAATAGCTAGATAGTTAGATGTAAAAATATTTTAAAATTCCTTTTTTACCCCTGTGAATTATGTGTGTCTTCCTCAATTTCAGGTCCTCTACTAGAGGCCTGGAAGTTTGAAGGTTCTGTGCAATATCTTAACTGTTTCTAGCATTACACTCATTTGGACAGAGAGTTCTGATATTGTTCCTGGGATCTTTCGGAGCAATTCCCCTACTTAAAAATCACTGCTCCAAGTGCTCTAACCATCACTGGGACCACTTTGATCTTCACATTCTACATCCTCTCCACTTCCTCCTTCAGCCCTTGATCGTTCTCTATCTTCTTATACTCTTCCTTCTGAATGTTGTTGTCATTTGTCACTGTTTCATCTATCACCACAGCTGTCTTCTGTCCTTGTCTACTATCACAAAGTCCGGTTGATTGGCCAGTACCTACCTGTTCATCTAGATCTGGAAGTCCCAAAGGATTTTAGCCTTCTTATTCTCCATGACCTTCTGTGGAATCTTCCATATGGATTTGGCAGGATCTAACCCATAAACTATACAGATGTTCCTGTATATAATGGCAGCTATTTGGTTGTCATTCAATGTATGTTGTTCCTGCCTGTATCTTATACCCTGCCACTATTTGTTGAATTATCTCTAAGGCGTTTCTGCAAAGTCCGCACCTTGGGTCCTATCTAGTGTGGTAGACCCTTGCTTCTATAGATCTGGTGCTTAGTGCTTGTTCTTGTGCTGCTACAAACAGTGCCTCTGTGCTGTATTGTAGTCCAGCCCTTTCCAGCCACTGGTAGGATTTTCCAAAGTCCACCATCTCAGCTATCTGTTGATGGTACATTCCACACAAGGCTGTCTTCCTCTGCTTGATCTTCCTCACCTGTCTGCTGCTACCTCAGGCATTCTCTCAACAGCTCATCATTGTACCAAAATGGGTACCATTTTACTGATGTACTCCTGGATGCCCAGGGTTTCATCCAAACAGTGGCTTCAAGACTCCAGAGTCTCTACTCGCTCTATTTCCAATTAATGTAGTCTCTGGGTATTGAACTTGAGGTAGAAACTTCCAACATCATGATGAACTTCCAGGTTTTTATATCAGCAGCTTCCATGCCCACTTTTGGCAAGTTTACTATTCTGGTAGGGTATCTGATTACTGGCAGGGCATACATGTTGATGGTGCAAATCTTGTTCTTCCCAATCGACTGGCTCTTCAGGACCTGCCTTATCTTATAGTGGTACTTGGCTGTTGTTGAATTCCTTGCCTCCTCACTATGGTTCCCCTGAGACACCAAGGTACTTGTAGCTGGTCTGTATGTTGCTTTGTAGCCCACTGATCATAGGTAGGTAGTTGTGTGCATGCGTATTTAAAAGTGGATAAAATATTAATAATATAATAATGCAATCTCCTGGAGAATACCAATAGCGATCAAGCAAAATTTAGTTATATTCCTGAAAGTTTTGAGAATATTGGATATTGTATTTACAAAATTGGGAAAAATAGGATCAGCATCAATTTTGCAGTGCTTGGCAATTAAAAGAGATGTGATTATATCTTTGCACCAATTAGAGTAAGAAGCGTAATGAAGGAAACTGTATGCTACTGATTGGATTTCTCCCTGTGGACAAAGACATACATAGACTGTCTTGTATGGGCATGCCACTTACCGTTTAATTTTCTTCTAGAATTGTTAAAAGCAAGGTATCAATTCTGACTAATCTAAAAGCTGATATGTGTTTTGGGCACAGGATGTTAAAGAACTACCTGGCTGCTTAGAATGGTCTCTCTACATACCTACATGATAGATTTTTGAAGTAGAGGTTAGGTTCTTCTGTAGATCAAGATTGAGAATCCACTGTTTGTCTCTGACTGAGTTTAGCCAATTGAGATCAAATAATGTGTTGAGTATCTGTAAAATCTTAGATTGGAAAATATTTCAATTAGCATTAAGGGAATAGAATTATCCTGATGAGTCAAGTCAAAAGGTTTTAAATTTAAAAAAAACAGAACAAAGAACAAATCCTGTATTTCATCTAGCAGAATTGCTTTTAGGCCAATAGCAAAATTAATTTTGTTTCTAGTGTTAATAAGAAATTGGAAACGCATCTGGGCATGCACTGCAAGTATCTTTGGAATTTGATTGCACAGTCGCTACAATGAAATGCATCAGAGAAGCAAGCTTTCCTGAATAGGCAGAGAAGCAAAAGAGCATGAAGGTCAAGAAAAACCTCCTTTGGCAAACATACAGACGACTGTGAGCCAAGGAAGCAGGACAATGAAGAAACTTCAGTGCCAATGGAAATGGGAATCCATGACAGGCTGTTCCTATAGACCAGTTCTCTCAACCTCAGCAACTTTGAGAGGTGAGAACTTCAGTTCCCCAGAATTCCCAGTATTGAAGTTCACACCTCTTAAAGTTCTGAGGTTGAGAAACATGGTTCTAGAGAATGACTGCCAGTCACCTGAGAAAACCATGCCACAGAACATTGGGTCAACAAGAACCACTCAGAGAAAGAAGGGGTATGTCATGCTGTTAAATGTTTCTCTGTGAAGGGGAACTGAACAGCTCTATGCAGACTCAATAAAATGTTGTGTCTTTACAGTGTATAGGACAATAGAAAGGGCACCGAGCCTATTCAAACCTACTGACAAGGATCTTTTCATTTGTCCATGTGAGAATGAATGACAAAAAATCCTGAAAGGAATCTCCGGAGACTATGAGACTTTGGATGGGAAAGTGAAGGAAATAGGAGCAAATAGATTTTTCATCAATGTTTCAACTTCAGGGTCACGGTGCAAGAAAACACAATCCTGGAAGTCAAAATCTGGCTACTCAAATGGTGTCACTGGGGATCCTGAGAATGGTTTGTGCTGGTATTTCTCAATCTCTGCAACATTAATGCGCATTCTGGGAGTTGACATCCACACATCTTAGTATTGGAGAAGTTGAGAACAGTGGTCTATGCTATGAAAAATTCCTAGAAGAAACATCTTGGGGGTGGAGGGGGGGGGGAAGGAAGGAAATATTTGGCAGCTGGCTCACAAACTTCATTAGAATGGTATAAAATTAGAACAGGAAGATTGCAAAAGCTCAGAACCAAATATGTGGCTACTGTATGGACGAAGACCAAGAAAGCAGAACACAACAGGAAAGCAATGGGATAGGCAGAATGAAAACTTGGGGAGTTTTGCAGAAGATAAAAGTGAAAGGTGGTACTCAAAATTTTAAATTATTGTGGGAAATAAACAGAGAACTAGAGTTCTTAATTTAAGAAGATAAACGATCTTGCAACTTGATGGAATGATACTGATGAGTTGCAAAGTACTGAAAAACTACAATTGATTCAAAAGGATAATTTAATGGATCTATAGGGTGGTCATCTCACAGTCCCAACAGACAGGTGCATATTCTTCAGAATCTAAAGAAAAATATGTTTAAAATTCAGAAATCAGAGTATGACAACCATGTTGAGAGTATTTGGGTAACAATAAAGAAGAGAACAAAAAGATACAGATAGTATTTTTCTCCATCAGATTATTAGTCTTTCAAAGAGATATGCAATAATAATGAGGATTTCAGTTATGCTGACATCTGCTGGGGATGTAACTCCGGCAAGAGTCAGAAGTTTAATTCTTTTCTCTTACTGACAACTTTGTCAGAAGGCAGATGAAAGAACAAAGGGGTCTAACTATCCTGAATCTAAACCTCACTGACAGAGAAGAACTGGTAGAAGAAATGATTTCCTGGAGGAAAAGTAATTGTGCCATCCTTGAATTTATATCTAGAGAATGGATGTAGATTATATGTTTTTATAGTCTACAAAAAGCCTCACGTCTATTTGCAACCTTCAATTGGGTGAAATTGGAAGCTATAAGGCAATAATTATTGAAACAAAGTAACTCAAATAGGCAATCTTTTAGAATGCTGAGACACATGACATATCAGGAAATAAAGTTTGGGAAAGTTGTGGCCGCTTTAGAGCCATGTGATTGCAGTCAGGTGATTCTTGTTTCCATGCTCCCTGACAGCTTCCCAGAAGTCAATGGGAAACCCATCAAGAACTGTGATTACAGATAGTTCCTGCAACCTTCCCAATAGAAAGGCTTTACTTGTGGGAAGCTTTTAGGGAGAGTGTCAATGGGGAAGCTGGCAGGGAAGGGTCTCAAGTTGCCTAAGTCTCCCCCACCCCTTCCCCAGTCCTGTGCTCATGCCAGCCACTTGCTCAACCCCTCCCTCCCTCCCCCACCCAGCAGCAACCAGTTACTACCAGCTGACTTCAGGCTTCTGGCTGACTTCATGATCTTCATTTACGGGGAAGCTGGTAGGAAGTCCAAACTCCGGGTGTCACAGGAAGAGGGGAGGGAGGGAGGAAAAGAAATAAGACTTCCAATGCTTCCTGCCAGTTTCCCACAAGGAAACTCAACGGGGAAGCTGATGGGAAGTCAGAAGTCACTCCTACTGTTGTTGTTGTTTTTTGCCTGCCCATGGTTTCTCTATTTAGGTAAGGAAATATCTCTGAAGTGATGACCCAATGGGTCATGGGTTGTCTATATGTATATGTGCGTCTAGGCAGAAAAAGTCTGGCAGAAGAGGGTGAATGTGTACCCACTGACATCTTATAAATTAGTGCTTGATTATTTAAGAAAATATGCACTCTTCTTTATAGGACTATATAGGATTACTTATAAAGTATTTAATTTTTTTCTAAATGTACAGAAATTAAGATATATGTTCACGATCCAGTACATTAAAGACAAAAGGAACAACAAAAGGAAAAGGAAAAAGAAAAGTAACATAGGTGTGATTGGATTATTCAATTTGTTTAATTTATTTCTTAGTATCACAACTGTACAACTTTCATACATACAGAAGGAAATGCATATTGACTACATCATGGCATGTAGATGCATTTCCAATTATAATACAGTTAAGTGCAACTCCACTTGAAAATGTACATTTGTACAACTTATACAAAGTAAAGACTGCTACACTATTATTCTGTGACAGTATAAAGCCTTGATTTATGTTAAGTTTTCACTACTAAACCATTTTCTGGTTAAATACAAAATATACTAAATCATTTTTAAAAGGCCTTTCTGGTAGTTGGCCAGTATATAAAATATGTTGTGTAAAATTTAACCTTTTGCATTTTAAAAAATAAGCTTGTAACATGTTGTCATTGAGAGCTATTAAGAGTGACACATTTAACAGGAGCCATGCTGTAACTTCTTTTCCTTTGCTATTGCATCAGTCACCATCTGTCTTAGAAACCAAAACCTACTGAAAGCAATGGTCTTTAATGTAAGATGTATTAATAGAGTGTATAGTGATCTCTCATAGTTTTGGCATTATTTTTAACTGAAACGAAGAAAACATACTTCCAAGTAAATAGCCATAAAACCAATTCAGAGTGAAGTGTGCTTAAACCTAACTAAAATAAGGTGGTTTAAGCACCCTAAGCTCTTCATTTGGTTGTATTTTTAATTGAACTTGCAAGGTAATGCTGCTTTATTCAAACTACAGAATAATTTTCTGGACAAACAAGACCACATTCTTCTACAAGGAAGAATGGAAAATGTTATTCAAGTTTCCACCTACATTTTTCACTGGTGAAGTCTTACCAGTTTGTGAAAATATGTTTTTTATAAGATGAACCTGAACATTATTACATGTTAACATTATTATTTTGCTCTATGTCTTGACCAATAGTTCATTTTTTTTTGCTAACAACTGTATCAAAGGAAAAAAACCAAACATTTTTCCTATTGCCATTCATTCCTATGACAAGAATGGTCTGATGTATAACCTCCTTTAAAAATATACATTTACAATCCTGCAACCTCAACAAAAGGTGAGGCAGGAAATAAATATCAGTTCTCAGAGCTTTATTTGCTTCTGATCTAGAAACTACCTGTTGTAAGCTCTTTCTTTTTTAGATTTCTCCAGGGCTTTGTCCATCGTTTTCTCATTTTCTCCTCTACATTTGGGACAGTACCACTTGCCTTTGGGTTTATGATTGAGTCCCACACAAGAGAAGTGAAACCATTCAATTGGGCATTCATCATTGTCACAGCCTATCATTTCTCCATAGGAGACCTGGTTACACAAACAATAGGTTGGTTCATTGGGATCAATGGGCAGGTCTGCAGGGGAAGCCTCCCTCTCTGCTTTGGTCTTAGACCTCTTCTTTTTCTTGGAGGTTTTTGCTTTCTTCTCCTTTGGAGTTCCTGAAGTGATGTCATCATGATCGTGATTATTAGAAGCATTCTCACGGTTTTCATTATTTCTTTGCCTCCTGGATCGCTTATTGTTGGGCTTTTCTGCCTGAGTCAGTGTTTCATTCTTTGATTTATCTTGGTTAGTCTTACCACTATTTCCAGTAATGTCATTAGTCTCTTGGCAGGTTTCAAATAATTCTACATGACTATCAACTTGTCTAGTTCTGTTCTCGACAAGTTCTACCATTTGGCTGACAATCTGGATCTTTTCATCTCCCAGTTCTTGACTTCGAATCAGTGCCCTCTGTATACAATGCAATAATCTTCTCTTTTGTACTGCATCTGTTTCCCGTTTGAATTTTTCATAATAGTCATCGAGTTCTTTTAAGATCTCTGTAAAGAAAGAATAAGGTTGTTATTTGTCAGCTTTGTACACAACACAGAAATGTTTAAGCTTCATCAAACAGGTTTGCTCAAACAAAAAACTCCCAAAACCTTTCATCATGTAACTTGCTCTACTTCTAAGCACCACTATTTGGAAAAAGAGATGTGTAATTTCTTCTAAATCGAACTTGACTGCTGATTTCATGAACATGTCTTTTTGGTTTTTCTGGCAACAGTACAGAAGTGCTTTCTTCCAAAATGACTTTTTATGAATTTCATATCTAGCCTATAGCTCTTTTATTGTATTACTTGGAAGTCTCATATTCAGATTATTTATTATTAGCATATGGCATTGTTACATTAGCCAGGATACCACAATATTGCAGAGTAGTAGTTTGGGTGACAAGGTACCAGATCTGTTGTAGGAAACACTTGCACGCTTCCCAAAGTGCGCCACAGGAGGGCAAGCTGGCTTCACATCAGAAAGAAAGACGAGTGGCTCTTCCTGCAGCATCACCTCTCCTTCCCCATAGCTGCCACGCAAATGGATGCTTTGGCTGTGAAGGTTGAGCTGGCAGGAATCTACTGCACAGAGCATCAACTCGTCTTTCCACCAAAGTGGTACCTATTTATCTACTTACATAGAATATGCTTTGGAACTGTTAAGTGGACAGAAGCTGAGGCAAGTGACGGGAGCTTACCCCGACACGCAGTGCTAGGACTCGAACCGCTGGAGCAGAGACCATCTCCAGTGTCCTTAAGCCACTGAGCCATCGCACCTCTTCACATGCAGATGCTAACCAGGCGCAAACCTGTTTACTTTTCCATCCCAGACAAAATCATCCAGGGACTGTGGCATACTGAGATATAAACTGGAGCCTGGGAATAAAAATATTGGTGGTATAAATTGTTGATAAGCAAATAAAATAAGCATTCCCTTGTTTCTACTAAACTTGCTGCTTCAAGATTTTACTCAGAGGTTCTGCTTCAAGTCACCATGGTTTATTTTGCTCATTATTTAGATATATGTTCATGTGTGTATAAAGTAAAAAAGGTAAAACTGACTTGAGCTTCTTGGCCACTCCATGGACATGTAGTTCTCTTAAAGCATCACAGAAGTAGTTTACAACTGTCTTCTTTCATTTCTTTTTTTTTGGGGGGGGCAAAGTTTTTCCCAGTACTGGGAATTTCCTGGTGGCCTCCCATCTAATTTCTTAAGTAATTTAGCTTTTAAAATCAGCAAGGTTGGTGAGGCACTGCCACCTAGCTGAGCCGTTAATGTATTAGCCTCTAAAATATAGTAATAATTCATGCGATGTAAATTGTGCAATTTATCATCTTTTGTTGATTATATGCTGCGCAGATTTAGCCACCGTTTTTACTCTAAAATCCGAGCTGTCTTTCGAACTATTTGTAAGCCATTTTGAGGGAATACATGGGTTTTCAAGGTCGGAATATGTCCGTCTCTTCTAAATCAACAGGAGGCAAAACATAAAAAAATACAATGTCTATTCCGTGTAATTTGCATGCACTAATCTATCCCGCTGACTTTCTTTCTCCAACAGAAGCAGAGCCAGTCTTGGAACTGAGGCGACCTCTCTCTCTCTCTCTCCCGTGATGGCCGTTCGTTCCGTCCCCGTCTTTATTTTAGACCAGGGCTTCAAAGGGTCCTCTACGTATCAACCCAAAGAACGAAACGAAACATACCATTTGGGCAAAAGGAAAGAGAGTAAAAATAGATTTGCCCCCGACGCCTCTCTGCTTCGCGAAAAATAAAAAGCCGCTGCTGGTCAGCGTAGCACATCCCTTCCTCACCCGCGAAGTCCCGGCCGGAGCCTTAAGTAAATCAACGCGCGGGGGGGGGGGGGGTTAGAGACAAACGACGAGAGAGCAGGCCCCGCCTCCACCCACTTCCAGGGCAGCAGCCAATTTCGCGGATAAAGGGGCGGAGCCACCCCAGAGCACAAGAGGCCTCCCCGCAAGCCGCGGCGTCGCTGAGAGGGTGGAGCTGAAGCAGCAGAGCGCGCGCAGGGAGCGGGAAAACAAGGACCCTCAGGCCCCGCCCCGTCGCCGGGAGTGTGCGCTCGCGTCCGCTCCCACATTCGAAAAAGACCTAGTTCGTCCCAGCTGCCTCTCCTATCCTCAGCCAATCAGAAGCGCCTCCCTTGCCTCTCCCTCCCCCGTCTCCTTTTCAGGCAACGAAGCCACTCCCTCCCCGCCCCTCCCACAGGATGCGATATCGAGGACCATTGTTCTTAGAAGGGAAGTGGCGGTAGGCGTGAGTGCGTGTATGTCTGTTTTTCTCTTTACGTCTGTCTTTAATAGAACGTACGCGAAGAGCAGGAACTGTCCAACCGGCCAATCAAGGTCTGGCAACTCCCACCACAGTCCGCCTGGGTCGAAACCGTCCAATTAGAATAAGGAATTATGCCAATAGCCCACCTTCTAGCTAAAAAGTATTTCCACCAATCAGGAGGGAAAGCCCCAAACCAACCTCCACCTCCTTGAATGCCAATGTTCCAATCAGGTCCCGAGGGCGGGCAGACGACAGCCTTCATCTTCCACATCAACCCATTAGTCACCGCACGCCTTCAACTCTTCCTTCAACTAGCAAGCCAATCAATCGCAGAGGAGCAGCCGGGGCAGTTCGCACTATTAGAAGAAACCTCCGCCCCGCCGCTTCCCCCCCCCCGCCCCATCCTCCACCCTTCGGTCCTGTCAGCGTCACTACGAAGCGAAGATCGGTAGAGAATTTAGGGGATACTAATCATTGAGCAACAGGGTGGGGCCAAAGCGGCTTCCTGAGGGAAGCTCCACCAATAAAGGCAAAGGAGGCGTGGCGAGCACAATCGGGGAATGACGAGGAGCTATAAAAGCCCTGTGACGGCGCTTTTCACTCTCTTCTTTTAGAGCTGAAGCGCAGAGGCGTCTCCCTTTAGCGCAGTCGAGTGTTCACCGCGGGTTGAAATGCCCGCCCTTGTCCTTCAACCCTCCTCTCTTCCGTATTACCCCTCCTCAAAACAGCCGTTCCTACCCTCAAGTTTACGCTTGTCTCTTCCCTTTCTCTCTCGCCCTTTTTACACACACTCGCCTGCTTTTTTTTGGCGCGTCTTACGGACGGGCGGCACAATATTAAGTCCTCACCACAAAACAAATACTTGCTGTTCCTACCCTACTCCTCCCTAAGCCCAGCAAACCCGAGCCGGTTCCCATCTCCTCCTCCAGTTCACCGGCGGAAAAGGAGTTTGAACGTGCCAGGGACACTCCGGTGTCACCTCCACTAGCAGCCGTCGCACTCTTTTCACCGCTCTCCACCCCTTTTACCTCTCACAGCACCCGGTGACAAAGGACTTCTCCAGCTCTTTAACTCCAACCACCATTTCCCGGGTTGCAGAGTGCGAGAGGGAGGGAAGGATCCAGCCTCCCTCTGCAAGAGCTGCAAAACGCGGCAGGAGTTTGGGAAGGGGGAGGCCCTCCGCACATCCCCAGCCCACACGGGATTTATATAATCGGTTCCCATCACTTTCCGTTCCTTCTCCCTGCAGAATTTGGGCGAGAGCAGCCCGTTTTGAAAGCAAACCCCATTGAAAAAAAGAAGAGGGAACGAAGGCTACAAGCCCGGCCCACCCCTCGCACACTCCAGCTAATCCACCCGCCCGCCCTCTCTCTCTCTTACTAGCACCCTCTTCTACTACAGCCATTGCGAATACTAGAAATTCCTCAATGTGGTGCCCTAGTCGGTCTCCCTTCTCTTCTTCCTCGCCGCTGTCCCACCGTCCCCAAAAGCAGCCCCTCTTCGCCGGGGAAAGAGGAAGAAACAGCTGCCTCCGTGCCCCATGCGTCCGGATTTTCCTGCCCCTCCTCTGCCCCGCTTCGATGCCGCCGCCTTTTTGTCCAGCATTTTTACACCTAAAAAGCCAAGTCCTCGCTTCAGAGCGGAGGACCGAAAGGAAGACCTTTTGTTCCGCCCCGAGAGGGGAAAAAAGAACTGGGTATCCCTGCAGAGTAACCCCCCTCCTTCTCTACTCTCCTTGCTTTCCGCTCCTCTTCTCACTAATAAATAATCCTGATAATAAAAGCCACCCTCTGCTTCAAGCTCGGGGGGGCGCAGGGAAGGGACCCAAGAGACCATCTCTACAAACAAGGCAAGCCGAGGTGGCTTCTACAGACTCTCGTCCACCAACACATAAAGGAGAAAGCTCTTACCTTGGTATTTGGCGTCAATTTCCCTCATCAGGGAGACATTTCTCTGCAGATCGAAAGGCAGCGATTCGATCGAGTCCAGGTAATCCTCCACATAGTTCGCTAAATGGAGCTGCTCTCCGTTGGCAGGATTCAACATTTTCATCCGGCCGAAAATTGTGGGTATGTGTGTGTGTGTGTATCTCGTCCTCTCACCCCAATGGGCGAGAGTTTTCCTTTCCAGCACGGCAGCCCCAATGGCAAAGACTCAGTCCTCCGCCGCCTCGGTGCCTCTCTCCGGTTCCTCGATCCAACCGAAAAAAAACACCAGAAAAGCTACATCTGAATCTTTTCTTCCCTGAACAGGCAGTCACACAGTCCGCGAGTCTCTCCAGCGGCAGTAGCAGCTGATTGAATGGCTGTCGTTGTCGGTAACTCACCAAGGAGGTGGTAGGAACAATCAGAGGGATGTGTGTGCGTCTCAGTGTGAGTGTGTGAACAAGAGAGGGGAGGGTGGAAAGGGAGAAGACGGTCAAAAAAAAAAATACACAGATCTCCCCCGGCAGACAAGTAAGATCCGCGCGGTAAAAATGCCTGGAAGAAGGCAGAAGCAGCGTCTCCCCAGTGCGTGCCGCTGCTCCTGTGCTGCCGGTGATCTTAATGCAGCTTGCTCTGTACGCCGCACTTGATCCAACGTGGAAAACCCAAATACCAGTTTCAAACACTTGGGAAACATTCAACCCCGCTAGCTAGTGCGCGTGCGCAGCACTCCCATTGCAACCCCCCCCTCCCCGCCTCGGCAAGAGCAGCAGCAGCAGCAACAGCCAGGACGCTCAATGCGCCGCTTTCTCTACAGTTGTGCTGGGCTCTCCCTCCTCCCCAGAAGGAAGTGAGACCGCGGGGGCGGGGGAGCTGCACGGGAATGGGGTTTTGTGCATGCCCAGCCAAATACAGCTTTCTGACGTAGTCATGTCTCGGGGCAGCGGAGGAGGGGGGGGGGTCGCAAACGCAATACTGCTTACTCGTCTTTTCCCTAAAAAAAAAAGGGGGGGGCTGCGTTGCGCCGCCTCTGCTGGAGCGGGAACTCGGGCCGCGTTAGCCAAAGGCAAAACGAGAGAGAGAACGTCTGAAGTTGGTGGGCGGCGTTTCATTCGGCGGCCGGCTTTTGAACTCCTCCGCCGGAGCCTTTGGATCGCTCAGTACCGCCGACCGGAGAACGGGCAGAGCTGGTAAGAGTTGGGCTGGTGGTTTTGGGTTTGTCGGGCCTCGGGCATAAACTTGGAGAATTTGCGGCAAAGGACTGTGGTCCTTGTCAGCCTCGGCATCAAGCCGCATCGGTGCCCAGAGAGGAAGAGATGCAACTGCTGGCTCCCTTCTGCCTCCCCTCTGCATTGTTTCGTTTCTCCAGTTTGCAGGAGTTTCCCGAGTTAAAAGGAGACCGTCTCCTTCCCTGCTTGAAGTTAGCCACTGCCTCTATTATTATAATCCAACACTGACAACAGGATGGCCCAATCCACCGTCAGGCTGTTTCCCACCCCTTTGCTTTCTAATCCAGTCACAGGCTGCGGGCTGCAGAGCCGGAAAAGAGGCAAGTAAAAATCGGTGCATGCGCAAATTGATGGCTTGTGAATAAAATGGAGGGCGAAAAGATGCAAAAAAAGTAGACTACATCTCCCTGTACCTGTTTTTTTTTCCCCTTTTTTTTGTGATGCCGCATGCGCCCGGATAATGGCTACTGGACTCCGGGGTGGGGTAACCCCCGTGCTTTTAAAATTGCCTAATCTGAAAATCAAAGCACACTCAGCTGCAGAAAACAAGAGGACTAAGTGGAACAAGGTGGTTGCTTTCCTCAGCCGTGATGAGAAAGGATCGCTTGGTACTCACTATTTGAATTCATCCAACTGCAGTACCCTCCTAAACTCAAATCCATGTTCAGATCCCTAGGTAGTCCTGCTGTTTGGAAACTAGATTTAGGTTGATGTAAAGATAACAGCTGAACAAAGAGAGGAAACCTCAGGAAACTGAGCTTTAAAGCCAATAGTTAACTGCAGTGGCAACTTAAATATATTTAGTTAGCACTTGATGCAATTGCCAGATGCCTGCGTAAAAACAACTGCCTTGAAAATTGAAGATGTAAAACTGACAGAAGGTGGAAGAAAAAGGATGCCTTGGTGAAATAGGCAGTGTAGTGAAGAGTCATTCTTAAATTTTCAGATGATTATTTATCCACTGAATGTTGAAGGGATATTGAGCTGTTTTTACAACCATGATATTCACATATTACATCTTAAAAATTAACTTACTGTGTTTGTAAGCAAACAGGTGTGTGGTGGCAAACTTTTACTTTTTGACATATTGACTTAAAAATGTAAGATTTTGAATAGCTATGCTGATAGTAGAGATTGTTTTTAATAGATTTAATAGATAATAGAGTCTTTTTAGACTTCCTTGATGACTTTATACTTATCTCAAGGAGGCAAGTTGACATTATACTCCTTCCTCTTCCACAACAACCCTTTTAGGTGGGTTGGAGCTGAAGGAGAGTGACTGGCTCAAAGTCACCCAACTGATGTTCATGCCTAAAAAGAAACTACAAACCACAGTCACTTGGTTTCCAGACCATTACATTAACCACTACACTGTAGTGTAAATATTGGCAAAGTGTTTATTTTACATTCTCACCACAGGTGAGAAATAGTATCCCTTCTGGTGCAGATGATCCTCCCTGAAACAGCTACTCTTCAGTCAATAGAGAAAATAGTCTATGTAAAAGAAAGAGGTGCATCAGCTGCTTCTCTTGAATAGAGATTGTAAAAGCAACTCCACAGGAAATAAAAATACTAATTTAAAAAAAATCAAGGGACCTACCACTAAGTGACCTTGGTTGGACCAGTCACTTCCCCTCAGCTCAGCTCACTTCACAGGGTTATTGTTATAGGAAATAGGAAAGCATGTTGGATATGTTCACTGTCTTGAATTATTTGTGAAAATAATAAAGCCAGGGTATAAATAAAAGCTGAATCTCATCTGAATTTTTTTTTGCCTGCTGCAGACAATCTGCATACCAGATTGGGGTGATATCCTTGCGGTGATTATGCTGTGGGTACCTAGCAGTTCGAAAGCATGCAAATGCGAGTAGATACATAGATATCACTTTGGTGGGAAGATAACAGTGTTCCGTGTGCCTTTTGCATATACAGTTGTCATGCGTGCCACATGACTATGGAAGTGTCTGACAACACTGGCTCCATCCGCTAAGAAAAGGAGATGAGCACCGTCTCCTAGAGTAGGACATGACTGGACAGGAGAAATCTTTACCTTTACATAAATTAACAGAAGCAGTCGTCAACCATTTTATTGATAATCTAGACCAGGGGTGTCAAACTTGCGTCATCACCGCAGTGTCACGTGACATATTGGGACTTTTTCCCCCTTTGCTAAACCGGGTGGGGGTGGAGCCTGCATGTGATGCATCTGGCCCGTGGGCTGCAAGTTTAACACCCCTGACCTAGATTATTCGATGCTTTAAAAAAAATTGAGATGCCAAAATAAGCAGCTGTAATCAATTGGTGTGCAAAACCTGCAGACAAAAGGAACAAGCACAAGGAATTTTATTCTTTCTAAACTAGTGGATAGGGAAAAACAGCACAATTTTTTCTAACAGATAAGAACCAGAACAAAAAGGGAGAAGGGATAGAACTAGCCCTTTTTTAAAAAAGAAGCTTCCTTTTGTTTCATACCGAGTCTCAGAAGAGAAGGAATGGATTTGCCCTTGCCTAAGAAAATACGTTTCTCAGTAGACACAATTTCACTATGCTGCTTAAGCTACAATTGTACATATGGTAGCAGAAAGGGAGGAGTTTTTATAAATGATAAACAGCATTTGTGTTCAGTGGTTTCTGTTGTAAGATTTGCTGCTACTACCTAGAAATAGCAATAGTAACTAAGTACCTACACACAGAAATACTTTGTGTAAAAACTTCTGAAAAATCATAAACCTTGAAAGCTTTAAATGATGCTTATGGGTTTATAGGATCTTATTTTTGTGCGGAACAATTAACTACAATATTTGTGTGGCTTCGAGACAAAGATCCATAATTATTATATTGAATGAGACTTTTTTCAACTTGGGAAACTTTTTCTGGCCAATCTGTAGACTTAGACATAAGTTCAGTTTCAAAGAAGAAAAGCAAGACCTGCAAACTAGCATCTTCATTCAACGGATTTGTTTCATCAAAAATAGATGTATAAGATGCTTTGCATTAATAGTCATACTTCATTAGCTACACTCAGTCAATTTTAGTAAGATTCGTGTCTGTTCAGTACTTTTAGATTATAGATGCATAGATGCACACATTCATACATATGATCTAGGATTTATTTATTTTTCAAATTTCTATACTGCCCTTCTCCTTTCGGACTCAGGGCGGTGAACAGCCAAGTAAAACACTTTATATACAAAAGTTAAAATAGATTTAAAATAATAAAATAATTTGGCTCATAATTAAAACATTTCAATTTAAAACCAATTTCAAATTTTAAAAACCCCATCATAAAATCAGGACATAAAATCAGGATTAGAGATGACTTTAATGGTACTTATGACCATGTATATTGGGATTCATTCTGAATTACATCAAGCAAGGTATCACAAGTGTGTGTGTATATGTACAGGTAGTCCTTGACTTACAACAGTTCATTTAGTGACCGTTTAAAATTACAACGGCACTGAGAAAAGTGACATGACCGTTTTTCAGTTACTTTTGCATCTGCATGATCATGTGATAAAAACTCAGATGCTTGGCAACTGGTTCATATTTATGACCAGTGCTGTGTCCCAAGGTCATGTGATCCCCTTTTGCGACCTGACAAGTAAAGTCAATGAGGAAGCCAGATTCACTTAACAACCAGGTTATTAATTTATCAACTGCAACCTCCGATAGGCATGACATGGCATTTTGTGGTACCTGCTGCTTAAACTCAGTCTTAAGCTGCTGTTCAAAGCCTTTTATTTCTCATATTCCTCGAAGAAGCTCACGGTGGCAGACATGAATTCAACAATCACTTTCATCCTTGTAAAAGTCTGAGTAGCATTTAAAGCCACTCTGGCGGAAATCATCCAGTAAGCCCCAGACGGAATATGGACTGAACTCGGATTTTCCCCTGCCAAGACTCCATCCAGGGAATTTATCAGCGGGCTTTATTTCCGAGTAAAGCTGTAGAGATTTGCATTATATTTCAAGTTTTAAAAGGGCGAATACGAACGTCTGTGGTAACTACAGCCACTTACCGCTTGCATATATACACGTATGGTGTTTCCCCCTCCCCTTGCAATTCAGGCTTACTCAAGAACCATGTCCCCATGCACTTAATCGGATGCCATCCCTGGAAAACGTGCACCAGCTTTACTTTCAGTCTCCGCGGGGGACTTTTTCGCGAGTTAACACGGGGAAGCTACGCAACTTTCAAGGTCACCGGCAAGTCTGGAAGGGAGTTTGGGGAGAACCGTGTAACCTGTGAGAGCCATCATTTCGCTGTTGTTGAACGCTTCCTCGCTTTCTCCGCCTCTCCCTAATAACGTAGGCAAAGAACCACGAAAGCTCCTCCTTTTCCTGCTGGACTCCGCCTGTAGCTACCGCTCTCCTCAGCGGCGAACAACCGGCGCCGACTGTTCCTACCGCCGGAGTGGGCTGTGCGGCGCCCAGAGAGCCCCTCCCTCTTGCTGGGAGGAGGGAGGCTGGGGGGAGGGAGGAGGAGGAGGAGGAGGAGAAACAACGCACCGGGATCTCGCAGTCGTGTGGGCTGCGTGTCTCTGGATTGGCTTCGGTGCAAGCAATAGAAGAGGAGCCGCTACCGCGGCGGCCTCCTCCCTGCGACCGAAGCATGTTTTGCGCTCCTTTGCTAGCCCGGCCTGGCGGGAGCTGCCTGAACGCCTCCGCTTCTCCTCTGCAGCGGCTGGACGCGCGTCGGTGGTTGACTTCGGTGGCCATCAGGGCTCCGCCTGCCGCTCCAAGGAAGCGCCAGCCGCTGGGTGAAGGTTCCCGCAGGAGAAGGTGCACTGGGGGTACCCCGGAGGTCGGGACGAAGTGGATCAAGCCCAGCGGCCAAGACACCGGGATCCAGATCTATAACAGCTTGAGCAGAAGCAAAGAGCCCCTTATCCTGGGAAATGCCAACGTGGTGACTTGGTAGAATAATTAGAAAATTTGCAAATCTGTCCCTCCCTCCCTCCCTCCCTTTCGGCAGCTCATAGAAACAATGAAATAAACCTATTTTGTTGCTGATGGAGATGTAGTAAATGTTGGGGATGGGCGGTGGGGGGAGTCTCTCCTATTGAAGGTATTGAGCTAGTCCTAGGGCTTGTAAAACTACAGGCCTTCTCAATGGAAAGGAAAAGCAGTACAGAATTGGATTGGTCAATTAAAAAAAAAAACCAGAACAACTTATTTCTATCCCTCTTTTGTAAAAAAAAATAAAAATAAGTTAGTAGTATAGACTGGGGCTCTTATTGGGGATTGCAGCCTAGGCCCTAAAATGGTAGAGTTTTGGCTTGTGGAATTTGGAAATTCATCTGTCCCAAGACTTTAGTGGCCTTCTCCTGAACTTGATCTTGCAGTGAAATAGGCATTACAGTATCTACCTTCCAAATAAAAAAGAATCCTGTCAGATAATGGTCAAGCAGATAGAAGACAGGTGGATCAAAACCTGGAATATTAGCAGAGGTCAAGGAGTAGTACAGATGAAAAAATTCATGTGCCAGCTTCTGATAGAATAAGTGTACCATATCTGCCCTGGGAAATTAGGGACAGCAATTAGATGGCAGAAAAGAATTCGAATGTCCATATCTACTGTCATCTAGTGATTGTCTGGAGTTTTGCTCAGATATTAGATATTTAAGCAGAAAATGTAAAGATAGCATTAAATAACATGTGCTAACAGATTTGCTGGCCTAAAAGTAAGTGATCAATTCCTGATCACTTTACAGACATATTAATATCATTTACTTGGCCAAAACAGAGAAATTGATTTGTCATTGTCTTTATCCAGGGACCCCTTAGTCATCTTCTACTTTATCATCTAAGATTGACTAGGTGGTACTATCTAATTGATGTGGTGATGTGCAGTATGCATAATTAGTCTTTTTACCTACCATAAATTGCGAATTAGTTGGAAGACTTAATGTTATGTAAGGCTGCTTTAGGCAAAGAAATGGGTAAAATAAAATCCAAACTCTTGAGGCTTTCTGGAAGTACCTTACTGTTTGTATATCAAAGATGATGATTTGTGAGTCCTCCTGGGCTTGAAGCAAGCTCCCAATCTAGAAGTGATTTAGTCATTGCAGGTTGTTATTCTGCCTTTATACCCTCTTTGGAAAATTGCCATTGTTCAGTTAGGCCCTAATTAAGATAGTAAATTTTGAGCAGGTTTAGTGTGGCCAATAAGATATGACTTTCAAAATATATTTCTTAGTGAAGTCTCCCTAGCAAGATCATCATAACCAGATTATCTCATCATCCAGGGTCAGTCATTGTGGCTGATGTTGGACTTTTAAAAACTGTTCAGTGATGTGACTTCTACTTTTATCTCTGATTTTTGTCACTTTAATTATATTGGCAGGTACAGCTGTGGGCCTACTGTATATGATCATGCACACCTTGGGCATGCTTGGTGAGTTTTAATCATTTTTATTTACATTTATACCTCACAGACTTCTCTAGATAAAACTATAATTAGCAGCAGCATCCATAGCGAATTTTGTTCCATAATAAAATGCTGACATTTGTGTGCTGCATGCAAATGCCATTACAGCCTTTTTTGTAATATCTGCTCAAATTGCAGATGTGTGACAATTGTCATTTGTTTATTATTTCTTAGATTTTTATCTTGTCCTTGTTCTTGATTTCCCCATAAATGACCATTTTATTAGATAAATTAGCATTGATTAGCTCTTTCAACAAAAATCAAGAGTTAGCTGAGTTAACCCTGATATTGTATTTATTCATAATGAAAGTCTCATTAGGTTCACTAATCTCAAGAAACTACATAGAGAATTGCCAAAGACTAAATGGATGAAGATAAGATGTAGCATGATGGATGGGTAATCTATCTGATCAGAGAGGTTTGCAGAGTGGTATCTATGACACATGATCAAAGCCCTGGCCCTTTTTATTTATTTATTTATTTATTTATTTATTTATTTATTCATAATTAAATTTATATGCCGCCCTACTCCCGAAGGACTCAGGGCGGTGAACAGCCAAAAAAGTAAAATATACATAATACAAACGTTAAAAACCATTTAAAATACATTAAATACTTTGGCCAGATTTAAAACACCCCAATTATAAAACCAATTTAAAAGCAATTAAAAGGGAGGTTAGGCCAGACCAGCCTGCTGGAATAAGAATGTTTTGAGGGCGCGGCGGAAAGTGCGCAGATCCGGGATCCTCCATATCTCCGGGGAGAGCTCGTTCCAGATGGCAGGTGCCCCCACAGAGAAGGCTCTCCCCCTGGGGGCCGCCAGTCGACATTGACCAACGGCACTCTGAGAAGACTCTCTCTATGGGAGCGTACTGGTCGATGAGAGGCTTATGTTTGTTGTGATGGCATCTTGTCTTTTCTAACACCCCCTCCCCCCTCCCCGCCACTCCCCCGTCCCCATGGACACCTCTGCATCTGACTTGGAGAAAATAATTTTTCAATATATATTATGTCGTGGGTGCCTTACTCTGGCTGAAAGATTAGGTTAAACATTTTATTACTTGTAGTATTCTTATTTTTCAGCTATGGGTGAAATGATTAAAGCAAGGACATAATCAATTACAGAATAGTTTTTTGAACGTCATCCTTAAGTAGAATCTGGTAGTCCTATCTATATGGTCCAGCTGGGAAATGATGCTACAGGTGCCTTTCCTAAGAGAAATTGGAGGGTAGATACCCAGAGAGTTGCAGCTTTTCATTTTGGAACAACTTATCACACTGAGGTCAGGTTAGCTTCTACACTTTTCTCCTAGCAGAAGTAGGGTAAATCTATTTCAAACATTTTTGTTACTGGTATCTAACTGCAAAGTGCAACTTTGAACGCAACCTGAAATTCACCTTCTTGCAGTATGTGATACATTTTTTTACCTATTTATTATCATGAGACATTTCCAAATCACCAAAGTAAACTCACTGAAATATCTAAGATGACTGTGTAGGGACCCCAGGTTTAGAGAAGAAAGTGTGATTTGGAGCATAAAAGGGTATGCCACATTAAACTTATTGGCAATCAGGTTAAACCAGGATTCCTTGAAAATGCCACAATTGGCTGATTTCACACTTAATAATGACTGTTTACCCAATATATATCAGGTTATAACCAATATGTATCAGGATGTTATACTTAATAAAATATATAATTTTATTTTAGGGAGTTAAATAATGCCAATTTATCTGATTAGTAGGCAATATTTTATTAGGCATATAAAATTGTTATGAGCATTGAATACGCACATTTAGTGACTGCAATTATAATGGTGATGGAAAAGTAACTTTATATTAATTCTAGTCACTATATGTGAGCCATAATATTAATCTATCTAATAAATAAATAAATCTTCACATTTATTACCTTTGCTCATCTGTAAAGCAAAGGAAAGCTGAAATAAGATCATAAACACAGTTGCGTTTTCACTTAGCAATCACCTTACTTTATTTATTTATTTTATTTATTCAATTTAATATTAATGTATAATTAATATACTTAATGACCAACTTGCTGGTTTGAATTATGGTGACGAAGTGAGGACTATTTTCTAAGTAGAAGTTAGTACCTTGTTTCAACAGTAATGGAACTTCAAGGAAAACTATAAAATTACTAAACTACTTATTTATCAGCAACTTGGGCCTTTTTATTTAGGGCTTAATCAAAACAAGAGACTTGTCTCACATTGCATGTTAAAGAAAGTTTACCATCCTGGTTATTGCATGTTAGTGGTGGTGCTTATTTCAGAATTTGTAGGTGTAGGATTGCTTTGTAAAGAAATAAAATTAGAAAAACTAAGTCATGGTTGCAGCATTATATTTAACAATAGCTATAGTTAAAAATAGCTGAAGTTTGTATAGAAATGCCACCTGTCTCTTGAATTTTGTAGCCTGTTTGTTTACAATTCCTTTCTGCCCATTAACATCTCAAACATCAGGTAAAGTTATGGAGGTGTAAAAAAAAGTTGTCACGGGATCTTATAAATATCTGCAGGATTTGCTGTTGATTGACTTGATTCCCAATTGTTATCTGTAGCAATGGTAAAATGTGCCCCCCCCTTCCTTACCCACCACGTCTTCATACTGCTGAAATTAAGAAAACATGGGATAATATTTTTTGTGTCAAGGGGCTATAAATTTTGCTCAGTTCCTGGCTTTAGAATTATTTAATTTTAATTTGTATCTGAAACAGATGCGCTCCCCCATTATTATATGTGTTCTGTCTCTGCCACCTAATCACTATGTCTGCTTACCCTATCTGTCTAATCACCATGCATGCATTCACACAGCCTTTTTCTCTTACTTGCTTGCTCAATCTCTGCTTTATTGCTGATTGTGCACTTAGTCTCTCCCTCCCGCCTTGTGTCTCCTATCCATTCACCAGCCATACACAATCAGCCTCTCGCATTCGGACAAGCCATCTTTCTGGGTATGACAGTAACGCTGCCTTAATTTAATTTCAACTGTAGGTGATTTTAAGCATCTTATCTAGACAGATGTATGTTTGTTGCATTTGGTGTCTAATTAAAAAACAGGATCGGTCTCAGAATCCTGAAGCTTTCCTACTGCAAAAAAGTACATTTTATGTCACAGTAAATCTTCTAATGTACATAAGATTCTGTTGTTCTAATATATTTTGGATATATTTAGAAAGCTGAAAATGATGATCAAAGTTTATAAAACTTGTCACTGCCCTAACACATTCATTATTTTTCCCTCTGTGTTTCAGTTCCTACGTAAGATTTGACATAATTCGAAGAGTAATGACAAAGATATTTGGAAAAGAAGTAGTCATGGTGATGGGGATTACAGATATAGATGATAAAATAATTAAAAGAGCAAATGAGGTAAGTATATAAATCAACCTGCTTTATACATGTTTTTAGAATGTATATGTACTTTATATTGTGTATTACTTTATACATGTTTTATTGCTTGGTATATAAAATCTGTCCTGAAATGTGTGCTCCTCTTGTATTGTGCTATTTGCATCATATCCAAGTTAGATAGTAAAATACAATTGATCTGTTAGAATTGATTTTTACATAAGCTGAAAATACTTGAAACCCTTGAAATGTATTTGTTTATGTATTGAACATATTGGTAGGCTGTTGCAATCAAAAACTACTCAAAAACACAACCTAAAACAAACCCCAAATAGAAACAAAAAATACAAGAACACTAGAGTACAAAAGTAGTAAGAGAATCAAAGATGGCAATAACAAGTCAAATCAGGAGAAAGCTCTCTGACAAAGGTCATACTTTAGAAGCTAGTAGAAAACCAACAGAGAAGGAGCCAGTTTGATTTCTATAAGGAGGCTTTTCCACACAATATTCAATACTGAAGTACAGGAGTGTTAAACTGGCGGGCTGGATGCATGGGCTGGATGCGTCACGTGCAGGCCACGTCCACCCACAAAGGAAGTTCGGCCATTTTCAGCCTCCGTGCGTTGCGTTTTTGGCCTCCGCACTCTCCATTTTAGACCTGTTCCAGGCTGCGGGGATCATCACAGCACATCGCCGCTGATCACCCCCTCTGCGCATTGCATTTTCGGCCTCTGCACACCCTGTTTTTGGCCTCTGTGCATCATGTTTTAGGATGGTTCCAGGCTGTGGGGAACCCTGCTGCGCTGATCCCCGGAGGCTGAAAATGCAATGCGTGGAGGTTGTGATCAGCGGCAATATGCTGTGGCAATCCCAGCAGCCTGGAATGAGACCTAAAATGGAGTGTGCGGAGGGCAAAAATGCAACGCGCAGAGCTAAAAACACGACATGCTGAAGCAGCAATGGGTTGTGGCGATCCCCGCAGCCTGGAACAGCTGATTGGCAGTATTCAGGGAGGCTGATCCAACCGCCAATCAGCTGCTCGTGTTGAATCAGGCTGTGATAACATACTGAAGCTGACCAGGCTGTTTGCTATTTGCTGCAGGGACACTAGCCAGATGAATACCGATGGATGCTGGTAGGCAGAGGCAGATTTTTTTTTTTCTTGTTTTCCTCCCCCAAAACTAATGTGCGTCTTATACTCCGAAAAATAGGGTAAGTGTGCAGCCCCTTCAATAATTGCAGAATGTGGAGGTCAAAGCTTAATGTCAAGGGAATATTTTTCTGTCTGATTTATAGATCAGCACATTTTTAATTACTTCATATTATTCCTTTAATTATGTTAGGTTACAACAATAATTGGGACCAGGAACTCTGTTGCTAAGTGATGCAATCATAAAGCATGATATGAAATGACTGCATTACATAGCAAGGACAATTCTGGCAAACCCAGTTGCTATTGTGAAATGAGGACTGTGCAGGTCATTAAGCTAGGATCTCATGTCATCACAAGTTCCTGACTTTGCTCATAGGAAGCTAGTAGAGAATGCCAGAAATAATGATTACATGACCAGGGGACCCTGTGATGAACTCCAAGGACCAGTCATATTATTTATGGCTTCATTCAGCAGCATTCTGAACACTTGCTGAATAAATGGTCATAAATCAAAGCCTACTTGTATATATTTTAAAATTATATATGTATTACTGGACAATCCGTGACTTGTTGGGTCATTGTTTCAGATATATTTCCTTATTGGGTGCCTTCAACAATGGCAGAGTTTCTAACATAATGGAAAAGTTCTGCCTTGAAAGTAGCCCATGTTGAATTATATAGCACAGTCAGACAAGGAATTTTATGTTTTATGACATTTTGGATTTTGTCATAAAATACCTAATGGTCATTTTTATGTCATAAAATGTTTTATAAAATTTGTCAAATTTCAATTTTGTGGGTGTCATGGGTTCTGGATTTTGGTTGCTTTTTGTAAGTTAGTCCATTTGAGCTACCTTGGTTGAAGATTTTTTTTTTTTTTTAAATTTGATTTATATGCCGCCCTTCTCCGGAGACTCAGGGCAGCTTACAATGCGTTAAGCAATAGCCTTCATACTTTTGTATATTTATACAAAGTCAGCTTATTGCCCCCACAAACTGGGTCCTCATTTAACCTAATTTTGGATGCTTTTTGTAAGTTAGTCCATTTGAGCTACCTTGGTTGAAAAAGTTTTGCCCTATTATGCATCATTTCGCCCAAAGGTTAAGGAATCAGAGTATTAATATTATATAGATAGATGTATGAAATTAGTAATTATTCAATCATAAAAGTCCTGTTGGAATGGATCTTGGAGATTCTCTAGGCCAGAGTTTTTTAAACCTTTTAACATGTTAGTTCATTAGAAGAACAGTTGGTGAGACCTCTTAATTATATCTTGATTTCATAACCTCTGTGAGCTCTTACACTTGATACATGACTTAATCACTTGTTGGTTTTTTATAGATGGAAATCTCCCCAGAAACCCTTGCTCGTTGTTATGAGGAGGACTTTAAACAAGATATGACTGCCTTAAAGGTACAAACATTTAATTGATATGCTTTAATGTTGAACATAAAGCTTCTTTTGTCGTACAGCTGCTAGTTCAATGGTGGAGAACTCCTTTCGGCTCATGGGATGCCCTAGTTGTAATAGTAGTTGTTGCACCTTCTTTATTTAGCTTTGTAATAATACTTTAAAACCTTTAATAAAAAAATTTCTAGGTGCAACAGTAGATAAGTTGTGGCTTAGATCTGGTTCTGAGGACCTTAGCAACAAAAGAAAAAAAACAAAAAGTGGAAGAAACGTGGATGTGGGATGCAGAAGAAGTGGAGGACAAGCAGAGAAGTAGGTAGAGTTGAAAAGAAAGACAATGTCTGCTGATGCAAAGAAAGGAACATTTAAGTTAGGAAAATAGGGGAAAGGCTGAAAGAGAGGGAGCAATGGGAGACAGACAAAGGAAAGGGGGCTAAGTAGGTGAACAGATATGAAAGTTGGAAGGATAAGAAGAAGGTGAGATTAAAGAAGAATGGAAATAGTGGAGGGAAAATGAAGTGGAAATCATTGAATTGGAAGAAATTGGCTTGGAAGAAAAGTTCTTGTAGTCCAAACTCTGCTCAGACCATCCCAGGCCTAGGAATCTGGAGGTGTTATTGAGCCTTTCCAACATATCGATTGATTCGTTGATCAGATTAGATTGATTTTATCTCCAGTTACAAATTACATGTGCATTATTGTATCTTCACTTTTATGGTTTTTATGTTGTTTTAATTATTGTTAGCTGCCCAGAATCATGAACTTGAGATTGTATCTTAAAAGGTTTAATCATGGCAACTGGACCAAAGTTTATTAAAACTGAGTCTGTATGGCAAGAGTTGGTTCTTTCCAATGACTATCTGACTCTCTGCCTACCCAAATTTTCATTTTGACAGAAAAAGTTACTTTGATGAGTAACAAAATGTCTCAATTTTAATAAACTTTGGTTCAGTTGTCATGATTTAACCTTTTAAGATACTCAATTCCTAATTGATGTTTTCCTTTAGAGACAATCCGTTGCTCTTGTATCACTTTACTCAGCTGTTATTAATCATCTCCTTAATATATAGCTCTCTTTTTTTTTTACATAGGTCCTTCCTCCCACAGTTTATATGAGAGTAACTGAAAATGTTCCTCAGATAATTTCTTTTATACAACAACTTGTTACTAATGGATATGGTTATGCAACTTCACAAGGTAAAACTTCCCAATCTTACGGTAATCCTGTGATGTGTTTGCAGTTCAATTAGTATGTTGCTTTAGAATTGGCTGGGGCATTCTTGGCCCACCTGTATAGGTAAGGTGAGTGTTAGTAACACTGTTGCATTTGTGCATTAGTGCTACCTTTTTTATTGATGAGCTTGTGACACACGGCTTGTTGAAGGACAGTATCAAAGTATCAATGTAGGCTAACAGGCTACATTGCTATGTTAGTTTTATTCACAAGACCCCTGCAGCCTTTCCTCTGGCTTCTCTATCACTTTGTACATTTTTTTCCTCTTTTCTTCTGGCTAGTGGCTTACTATTTTACTGGCAAGGGACTTCGGAAATACTTGGGTGTAGAAACATGGGTGTAAACCATTTTTAAGAAGCAAATTGACCTAACACCAGATTTATCATTGAACAAACAGTAACTGATTCTAATTTTTGCTTGTAGAATATGTTCACCACTGATTACGGAGCCTGAGAAACCTGCATCCTTGGCATGGTCTTTGTCTCAGTGTGTTTTGTCCATTAATGTATTGATGTCTCTTGGGTCTGCTATGAAATTTCTCCTACCTAGGTACAGAAATGTGGGCAGCATAGGCTACCTGCCATCATCACCAGGAAACAGTACACCCAGGAATATTGCTTTGCATCTAGTATATAATATGGGCTAGCCTGAATTGTTGCCTAAAAGTAGAGGCATTGATTGATAATTCCCTTGAGTAGAACACCACATATTTCCCATCTTTATAATAAGATCAAATTGTTTATTTCCGACAGGTAATGTTTATTTTGATGTCCGTTCTAGGGGAGACAGATACGGAAAGCTAACAAATATTTATCCTGAGACCCAAGAGGAATTTGGTATGTTATTGACGGTTACTGACCTTTGTACAAGTTTATTTATTTACTTACTACGCACATTTCTTCACTAAGATTCTAGAGCGTTTGCAAATGCCATAAAATAATCTTAACATTAACCAGCCCATTAACTTTAAAGCAGTAACAGCAATATAGCAATAATAGGAGGACTGACTACCTTAAAAAAAAAGTGTTTCCTGTACTCTTTCCTAGAACTGTAGCCTTGATCAATTGTAGAACTATTTCCATAACGTAAGATTTCCCCACAAGTTAACTTTCATTTCATTTCATTTCATTTATTAAATTTTTATACCGCCCTTCTCCCGAAGGACTCAGGGCAGTGAATAACTATGAATAACTTCATAGTTATCTTGGCATATGCATGACTGAGGTCAGACTATGTTTCATATAGTTTGTGTAATGAAAATAATTTATATTTCTGTGAACTCTTCGGATTCCATAAGAATTTTGGTAGTAAATAAATTGTATAAGCAAAATGAGTAGAACCAAATTGGAAACAAGATGAAAATTACACTCCAGCTTCATTATAATATATATTATTATATAGAAATATCAGGAAGTAGACAATCCACTCCAAGTTACTTTGCCCAGAACTGTTCGAATTTGTCTTGACAACTATAAAAGGCCTAAAAAAGGTGGTAGGCAGCCTTCTGGAGGCAAAGGGTTCCTTAGCGTCAAGCCCATTATAGAGAAAGATGAGTTTTTGGTCAATGTTCTCTTGATTTTTCTGAGAGACCCGGACCCCAAGCATGGAAGCATGCATGGGACAGGCAGATTCACAGGCAGTCTTTACTGATGTATGATACTTTCCTTTTTTTAAATAGTAATTTTATTAAAAAGCACAACTACAATGTTAAAAATATAATATAAACTAAAAAAAATAAGAGAATAAAAAAGAACAATAGAAGGTGCAGAAAAAAGACAAGAAAAGAATAGAGAAAAAACAAAAATATAAAGGAAAATAAAAATATAAATCGCCCCTTTTATCACAAGTACTCGGTTTATGACCACAATTGAACCCAATTTTTCTGTTGTTAAGACATTTGTTAAGTGAGTTTTGCCTCTTTTACAACCTTTGTTGCCTCGGTTATTAAGTGAATCACTGCAGTTGATAAGTTACTAACCTGGTTGTGAAGTGGATCTGGCTTCCCTATTGACTTTGCTTGTCAGCAGGTCACAAAAGGTGATCACATGACCCTGGGACACAGCAACGGTCATAAATAATGAACCGAGCATCTGAATTTTGATCACATGATCATAGGGATGCTGCAAAGGCCATAACCCTGAAAAATGGTCATAAGTCACTTTTTTCAGTGCTGTTGTAACTTTGAATCATCACTAAATGAAGTGTTGTATGTTGAGGACTACCTGTATAAGCAATTTTAGAAATTTATCATCATTTCCTAAAATGCAATAAGTGATTGCTTCTTCCCATATCTCATCTTTTAACTATATACAGATCCTTAAAACCTCATCATTTCAGTTTTTGTGAGCAAAAGTTTATTAAGTGTTACTTTTAACAATCTTGATCTATAATCCATTCATACAGCATCCTAAACATGATTTATCTTTGTCCCTTCTCACAAACTTCTTCAAAGCTTTAACAAGCCTTTTTGCAAATCCAATATTGGAAAATTATCCAGGTTACTCTCTTGAGTTTGGTATTTGTATATCCCTTTAAATTGTTAAGACATCAGTTGGTTTTTTTTGTATGTCCAGATATATAATGCAGTGGTCATTCCAATGCACAATGCTAGCTACTGCTACTTAGAAATTTAAAGTTTAATGCATGAGTTAGCAGTAAGGTAACCTACACAGACAGTACTGTAGGTGGTGCTCACAGATCTACACTTTTAAAATTGTGTACATGTATTTTCTCAACTTACAACCACAATTGGGATCAAAGTTTCTGTTGTTAAGTGATTCACTGCAGTTATTAAATGAATCACTTCATTAATTGAATCTGGCTTCCTCAGTTGACTTTGCTTGTCGGAAGCAAAAGGTCACAAATGATGATCATCTGACTCCATGATACTGCAGCCGTCATAAATACATGCCAGTCAAAATGCCTGAATTTTGATCACGTGATGACGATGCTGTGAATCATAAGTGCGATGACTGGTCATAAGTCTTCTTTTTTTCCAGTGCCATTGTAACTTTGAACAGTCACTAAATGATTGGTTGTAAATAGAGAACTACCTGTATTTGGGATTCCTTCTAGTCATTTAGCTAAATGAGGCCCATGATATCTACATTTCAAGTCCTGATGGATTTCTTTGAAACATTGAATTCTGAATTTTCTCTTTAATCATATCATCACTACTTGTTACTGGCAGGGTTTAGTGATAAGCGCCACAAGAAGGATTTTGCTCTCTGGAAAGCAGCCAGACCTCATGAGATATGCTGGGATTCCCCCTGGGGGAAAGGAAGACCTGGCTGGCACATTGAATGCTCTACAATATCAAGGTCAGTTTTTTTTCATTTCCTAATCTTGCTTCTTTTTCAAGAACATGCTAACCGGTGCTGGCAGAAACCCTACAGGGGCAGTATGGGATGTCAGTTGTTTATTTTATTTACTTATTTCAAACACACAGCTGCTCATTTTACATCAAACTCTGGGTGGTTTCTAATCAGGAATGAAAACAATATGAGTAATAAAGCAACATAAAACAATACTAATAACTATTAAAACCACAAACATGTTTTTATTTGTTAAAAACATAAATTAATAGGAATTGTAGTTTGGGACTGTTCTAAATGCACACTTGGAAACAGATTGATCTGAATGGCATGATGGCTAACTAATGCCAACAGCTTTTTGTCTCCTTTGCAGCTTGAAATCTAAACTAACTGCTGTGGTCCTTTGCATTGTCATTCTGAATGTTGATTGATTGATTGTGACATACGTCTCTTGTGTTGAAGCCAAACTTGTAGATGATCTGGGGGACTGCAATAAAAGAATGGGAAGGTGTTGACAGACTTTTCTGTGGGATATGAAAATGAATGTTGAGCAGTGTTTCAGTAAAGAATTGATTTTGTGTTTTATACGTCTTATGTCTTTGTACTGAGCCGATCAAATTTGTTGAAAGTGGTGGGGGAAGGCAGTTTAGATATTTGCTGGATCCTCTCCCAGGTCAATTTCCTTGGGCCTAGTGAAAGGAAATGCCTCAAATAAAGCAGATTATAAGGGCAGAATTGTACATTTTGCAAATAGCTCTGTGTCCCCTTTTGTCTAGAAAATTCCCTTGTAGCAATTATGTTTATAAGGATCAATGTGTTATTTGTCCTTCACAATGTAAAGAAGACATCAGAAAGTGTAGCTTTTCCAGGAACTGCTTAATTAAATTAATGTGAGGTAATGGATGGAGAGAAAATAGTTCCAATTCAGTTTATAAGTAATATACAATCCATTAATATTCAGTATAATTAAATCTATATTAAAGTCTGTAAGGTTGAGGATGTTAATGTAAAAGAAGTATTAATGCGAGACAGATATTTCTTTACTGTATCATACATTTTAGCACAATCTGGGCTTTAGCGGTAACCTAGCATTTCCTTTTGACAATTTGGATGCTAAGAGCAAGGCTAAATGTAATTATCCATAAAATTGGATAATAAAATTTGGGACATTTGAATTAAACACAAAGATGTAGAAAATCAGATCTACCACAATCTGGACATATTGCAACATCCAAGCAAATGGCTTAAAGAAAGTTCCTTGAAAGGTTGGCTCCCAATTTTCTATTGATTTGAAGCAGTAGTTTGAATATTAATTTTTTATTGATTTATTAACATTTCTTTAAATCTAATCATTCTTCATTTGTTTGTTTTAATTATTATTTTAATAGTCTAGTGTTTGGGAGACATTTGGATATCCATACTGGTGGTATAGATCTGGCATTTCCTCATCATGAAAATGAAATTGCTCAATGCGAGGCTTATCATCAGTGTGAACAATGGGGAAATTATTTTCTACATTCTGGTAAGTTCTAGTTTAAATAAACTTTTAGATTTTTTATTCCTTTTATTTAAATATCAGGGTTCAGGAAATTATATGGCAATGAAGGACAATGAACTTTGTGAAGAACACATTAAATAAATCAAGATATACTGTACAGTGATGATCATAAAGTGTGCTTATTTCACGGCCTGCAAGATGTTTCCTTGTTGAAACTATTGAGGTTGCTTATACCTTGTGATGTTCTACCATAGGGTATAGGTTTAGGCAGATTTTGTAGCATGAATCACTTTAACAGCCTGGAATAGCTCTAGCTGATCTTTCCAAGGATAAACTGTGCAGGGCTCATCCATCCATTTGGATGGTTAACATAAGAATTTAAGACAAAAGTTTACTTGGACCTTGATTTCCAGAACTGATGGACATTCATAAAAGTTGATTTTGCTGTCTCCTTTCTCTCTGAACATCCTTCAAGACTCATGGCATTTGGAGATTCTCTCAAAAACATGTAAGGACAAAGAGAGTTACTACTCAAAACAGAGCAATAGAACTTTGCTAGAATGGAATTTTGTTACACACAAGACACTTCTGCTCAATTTTAGACCTTACTACTATATCCTCTTGTACTGCGGGCCATTTTGCTCAAGAGGGACTGTAAAATTCCTTGGAATCACTGAGTTGATAGGAACATACATTATGATGATGGATATTAGAAAGTGAAATGGGCGGTACCTAAATTTGATAAATAATATTGTGATTCAAGCCATTATATTCTTGGAAATATTTACATAGAAATACTACAAGACATATTCTGAGTTCTGAGCAGAGAGGAAGGAAGGAAGGAAGGAAGGAAGGAAGGAAGGAAGGAAGGAAGGAGGAAGGAAGGAAGGACTTATTTCTGAAAAAAATGGTAATATTTCTGCAAATATTTTTGTTGCGTTTTTGTCCTCCAGAAATATAGTTTCTTGCCATTAAATGATAAACTGTATCTTCAGGCTGCCTGAGTCCCAGAAAATAAAAATGGTACTTGCCCTTTGCATTTGGGAGGGGGAAAAATACAAAGGTAAAATTGAATAATAGGAAACACCTTGGGGAGGTAGGGGTAAACAATCTCATTCCTTTGCCCTTGCGGGAGATGGGTTTTTGCAATAGGCTATAGCCTCTTTGATAGCCATTTTATGAATAGGAACACTCAGCTATGGCAGCCATTTTGTGAGAGCTTCCATTATAATATTTTCTAAAATATTGAATGTATCTGTCGGCCCCAAGTCATTGCATATCCAGATTTGTAGAGGAAAATTGGTTATCTTTAAAAAAAGAAGATACCTACATTTGAGAATACACATACTCAGGGTAATTCTTTTTAGTATTTGTTTAATTTAAGATTTCGAATGTAATACTTTTGCAACAGTCCAAAAGTCTAGGGCAGTTGATGTAATTTGATCATTTAATGACATCACACAAGTGACATATATTTAACAGACATTAAATCTTGAATGGCCAATTTCCCCCAAGTCTTTTAAAGTGTTCTGACTTTTTCAGCATGTTCGGTAGTTCTTCCACATTATTTTACTGCTCTTGTAGTAGTTTGTGAAACAGCAGACCTTTTAGTGTTACAATTGGTGAAAGATTCAGAATTTTACAAGAGAAAAGATTGGATGTTGGTTTAAATCGATACAGTAATTTTTAAATATTTAATGTCTTTAAGTAATACGTATACCTTAATGTAAGTTTGCCACCCTGAATTACTGGTATTTATAAAAATAATAAAGACTGGGATGAAAATAAATGAACATTACCAGGCTAGAAGCTGCTATATTCATTAAATTGGATGGTTTTTAAAGTTTCTACAAAGTTTCTATAACTTGGCGTGAATTAATAATTGGCTATAATTATCAAGTTGAGAAAATAAATGGTCAGTGTTCTGTAACAAAATATAGAATTAAAGTAAACTTATTAATAATAATATATTCTAGCTTTTCTTATAATATTTATGAAATGTACTGATGGATAAAACATACCCTACTACATATTACCAAATCTTGGAATCCAGCAATATTGAGACAGCTGTAAGTTCTTGAACTATAGCCTGTAAAAGAAATTTGAGTTAGTTTCTATCTCAGGAAGTGTGTTATTTTTTCCAAAAGTGTACTAAATGATATACAAAATTTTTCATGGAATGTTATCTTGAGGAGTAATTTTTTTGCCATTAAATATATCCTGTGATTAATGAATTAATAGAAAATGAGAAGTTTTATTATCTCTCTGTTTGGCAGTATTTAATTACTTAAATTTTATCATAAAACACATCCTTAAGTCAATTACCAAAAATCCATTTTTATCTATGTAAGGTTTAGAATTATTCTTACTATTTATTGGTATATAAAAATAATGTATACATATTTAAATATGAGTGTTGAAACAGCCTCATTTTTTGTTTTCCTGTTTCCTATTAAAAAAATAATTTTCTTTTGTCTTTCCTAATTCTGGAGCACTTTTTATTTTTAAAACAAAGCAGCAATTTGCTTTTTCATTCCAGGACATCTGCATATAAAAGGGAGTAAAAAAATGTCAAAATCGTTAAAAAACTACATTACAATTAAGGTACTGTAAACATATGTTCTCTGGCTATTTCTTAATAGTGTTTTTCTGGGCAAAACTGTACCTGCAAGGATTTGAACTATGCAAAAGGTGGGTGGGAATTGGCTTGTGCAGGCTAGTGTGAAGAGAGTTTGAACACAGGAGAATTGGGATCCCTTCTTGAACAAATTTGGTGGGCATCTAAGACAAATGTATATAAAGGCAGATAGAATAATATGAGCTTCCAGTTTCTGTTCTTTGACATTGGGCAGAACCCTTAAAAAATGAACAGTCCTATGCATTATTATGCAGCATTTACTCTCTTGAGGCCACTGAGGCAAAGGATCAAATTGTATGTTAAAACAAGAGACCATTGCTCTGTTTGCTGTGATTGCATGTCCCCTTTCTTGCAAATTCAAGATACAAAAGTATGCCACAGTATCTGCAACTCTTTGTCAGCAGTTTTCTGCTTTCTACGTCTCTTACTTTCTTTACTATCCATCTCTTGTTCCTCTTATCAAAGAAAAAACTCTGTTCCCTGTTTGACTCTCTTGAGCGATCCCACCAGACACAATACATAAAATATCATTGGTCAGCTGACTTGCTGCTAAACGGTACTGGCCTTTTTCAGTGAGGAAATTGAATCTCTTTCACTTTGGACTATAATAGAGTGAAATTAGTTACCGTGCGCCAGTATGGTATATATTTTCAGTTTGTTTTATTCTGAGTTTGCTGAATTTCTGTACAATTTTAGTTTTAATGTATCGTATTTTTCGGAGTATAAGACGCACCTTTTTACCCCCCAAAAGGGGGTGAAAATTTAGGTGCGTCTTATACACCGAATGTAGCCCTGCCCACCCACTGGCCCCCACCCTTTGGCCTGTGCCTCACAGCAGTTACCTTCTTGCAAGCAAACAGCAAGAAAAAACAGCCCCTTCCAGCTTCAGCATAGGTTAATTAGCATAAGTTGATTAGATCGGCCTCCCGACTCTCAGCTGATTTGCTCTCAGCTGTTTTGCGCAGGGCTCTCCTGCTTGCTGCAGAGTGCTGGAGCAGATTTTTTTTTCCTAGCAATGCTGAAAAAGCAAAACTGAAAGTAAAGCAGGCTCTGCTGCAACGTGACAAAATGAGGCAGAGAGAGATTTCTTTTTCTTTTTCCTCACCAAAAAAGGTAGGTACAAACAATGGGAAATTTAGGGCAAAAGAGGAGAGTTCAAGATTTTAAAACACACACACACACAAAAGCTCTATTAAACTAGGGAATTGTAATAATTGAGATACTATTGTATATTGTGTTGAAAGCAGAAATGGTTAAGTTGTGGTTTGGAGGAATATAGGGGGAAAATTATTTGGTTTATTATTATTGGTAAATATAATTAATTGATTTGTAAGAAATTGGATTGCATGGAAATAATTGGAATATTCATATTCATATTGATTAATATAAAAAAAGATAGTTATAACGAATTGATTTATATAAAAATGTTGAATTTGTATTAAACAATTGTAATATTAAATAATTAACCAATGTGAGGATGGATATAAAAATAGATGACAATGGGAAGGGGTATAATATAGAATAGAAGGGAAAAATTGAATTTGATTAAGATTAGAGATGAGAATGAAGGGTAATATTGGTTTTAAAAAAAATAGATGAGGAATAAATATGGCAAAAAGGAAATACAGAAATTGTAAATTTAATTGAAATGACTAAACACTGTTTAAATTTGTGAACCAGCCAAATACTCTGTTCAAAGAAAATACATTGTATTTATGTATGTGGGTTTGTCTAAAAAATAAAAAAAAACTTGAAAAAAAAAACAACCAAAAAAGGTAGGTGCGTCTTATACTCCGAAAATACGGTATTTTACATTTCTAAAATGTTAATGTTTCTGAAAAGACGAGTAGAGCTCTCTTATGGGAATAGGAAAGGGCATTGCCAGTCACCCAGGACAGAATCATGATGGGCTTTTGCTGTCTTGCATTTCCACATCTCTGCACCCATAAGAAGTAGAGCTATGCTTTGTTTTCAGCAAAAGCCCCAAATGCGTTGTCAGATTTCATGATTTGGGGTTTAAGGATGAAATAGAAATGGAAGAGCACCTTTAAAAAGAGGAGACAGAGTCGTGGAGGCAAAAGTCTTCCAGCTGAATCCTAGAAACCTTTCGTGGGGTTAGAAACACAGTGTGTATATACATTATTTACAATGAGGGATGACACACACTCTTTCTGGCAGTGTGCCTAGCTCTCAGTGTGCTTGTATTTGTCTCTTTCTCTGCTTTTGTCTATATCAGGGGTGTCAAACTCAAGACCCGCCGGCCGGATCCAGCCCACAATGTGGTCGGATCCAGCCCATGGAGCTGTCCTGCAAAACATTGCTTCAGCCCAGTCTACCCAATGTGAAGAGGAAACATCAGGCCAGCATGGCTTCGGCCCGGTCTAGTGGCGTCAAGATGGCCACACCCATCCACCCACCCACGCCCTGATGTGGCCCTCAATGAAATTGAGTTTGACACCCCTGAGATTATATAATTGCTAGCTGGACGCCCGTGCTTCGCTACGAAACTATGTGTTTCGTATACTCAAACAGTATTTGCTGTGTGAGCAAGGAGACGGGAAGGAGGCTGGGCATGGCTTAGCAAAACTATTCTGTGGTAAAGATGCTTGCTGCTGTGAAAATAAAACTGAAAGTGAAACTCCTCTGTGTTTTGCATTTGGAACAGATTTCTTTTCAGGTGGGGAGGGGAGTAGAACTCCTTAGCATCAGAGCGTGTTAATAATAATATAGGAAATACTAATGCTCTGATGGTCGTTTCAAAAAATCCTTTCTTAGTGAGCACCTAGAAGCCAAGAGGAACATATGTGTCAAATTTCAAATTTGTAGGCTTTACAGTTCTGGAGATTTTGTGATTACGGTGTGAGTGGTTTTCACTTTTATATATATAGATATAATTTAGATAGATAGATAGATAGATAGATAGATAGATAGATAGATAGATAGATAGATAGATAGATAGATAGATAGATAGATATTGATATATGTATGAAAAAATATCAGTTTTGCTAACTGGTCTGGATAGATATTTTCCAGTTCAAAACCTGAATAATCATTAGATCTAAGAGCAAATATTGGCATGCCTGCATGATCATAAAGTTGATAATGTGCTACATTTTAATTTAGAGGTTGGGATGTGATGGAAAGTATTTGAATTCTGAAATGGGGTCCATCATCCATGCCTTGCCAAATTCTTCATGATCTAACTCTGTTAGCAGAATCAAGAATGAGATTCTTTCCTCTCTTTTTTTTTGTTTTGTTTGTTTCCTTAGGATTTTCTAAAAGAATTTTCATCCGATCAGTTTAGAATGTTTTGTTTGCGGACCAAATACGGCTCAGGTAAGAACACTTCTTGAACTAAAGATAGCTTTACAAAATGTATATTGTTGATGAAGTTGCAATTAGATGCTTACTTTACATACCTCTGAAAGAACTACTTTTGTTTTAAAATGTTTTCGGGGGAGAGTTTTAAATTTTCAGGTCATTTTATTTCCTTCTTAATTTCAGCTAAACTTTAAAATGTATCCTTTTTCCAGCTGCCAGCTGAAGAGAGAGGCTCTGTTCTATTTTCATAGCGAAATTGATAAAGAGTTCAGGTTTTGACTGATGCAGGAGCATTTAGTGACTTCTTTGAAGAAGTTGTGCTTTAAATCTGTGTTCTGTTTACAGTTCAAAATATGGCGCATTTAATTTCATTGGCAGATTTCAATAATGAAACACATTTTCAGTACCTTGAAAAGATCTGCATATCATAGGGTTATTGTAGGGAAAATTGTAGGAAGAAATTCAGCATATGTCCCTTAGAGCAGGGGTCCCCAACCCCTGGCCCGGAGTCGAGCTGCAGCCCATTCAGAACCAGACCATGAAAGTAGTGGGTGGGTGTGAAACTGCATTTGTGAAAGTGGTGTGCCCGTGCAAAACCATCCCCCACCCCTGCTGCCTATGCTAGTCCGCCCAGCCCGAAAGGTTGGGTATCGCTGACTTAGAGGAAAAGCAGGACATACTAAAATTGAAAATGGAACCTCAGTGATATTGCTGCTTTTATTTGCAATAGATGCATATGGAAAGACACATAAAAATATCTGATTATGTATTTGAAACGCATATCAAACATATCTCCTCATCTTTGTGCTTTGATCTAAAGCAAAGACATAACAAGCAAATCATGCCAAGTCTGAGATGAATGAGAACAAAGTGAAGTTTTTCAAGAATTTCTGCATGAGGGCTTTGTAAAATCTGTCAAAATATGGCCTGAAGCATTATTCCTTCTCCTTTTATCCAGAGTCAGCACAAGTCAAGAGAGATGCCTTCCTAACTCGCTAGGTTATAAGGAGGAGGTGATTGGTTGAGCACAATCGGGCTTGCAGAATTATGTTATTACAGCCAGCCTCAATAAAGTATGTTTTTAACTTTCCTATGGAATTAATTTCCTGGTCCGTTCTATTTGAGGACCTGATAGTACCTTTATTTCTCAGTCACATGGTCATTAGGAATGTGGAGACTTTCTCTCCACAAGAGAGACTTAGAGACTTTCTAATCCATTAAAAAGAGTACATTTTGCTTGATGGGGCAAATACATTTTCAGTGATTAATTGTTGCTTTGCGACACCTTCCCTCCTCCCCAGCTTTAGCAAATCAGATTTTGGAGGACAGCATTTCAAACACTAAACAAAAGAAGAAAATGTGAGATTCTCTTCCTATTTTTCAAAAGTAGTCTTGCCTACACAAGTGAATAGCTTTAAAAACTGTTTTAGAACAAGATGATTATTAGTTCCAGATTCCCCCAGTGACTTCCTCCTGAAAGCTAATATTTTCCATTCTCTTTAAATAGGTCTGGTAGAGTTACAAGGAAGGTAATAGAAAGACTGAAGAAATTTCTTCAAAAACCATTAATTTGTTGGCTAATCCAGTTAATCCAGTCCAATTTATTAGTGGACCGTAATAAAGATTCCTGCATGAATTCACTCTCTTTTGCGCCCAAGCAGTAAACCTATAGTTTAGTCAAAGCTATTAAATGCTGTAAAACATCTACATCTTTGAAACTGGACTCAGTAGCATTACTGTACTTTTGCTTTAACTCTACCTCAGAATGTGAGGAGAACCAGAAAATCCATTTTATTGCACATCTCGTTTCCATTTATTCATGGAAATTGGATGACACTAAAATAGATGAAGAAACAAGGAAAGGACCTTTAAAACTATTTTCTTTTAGTGCTACTTAGAGCAATCAGCCTGCTATTAAGTGACCAGAAGCATAATTTGCAACATCTGGACTATTAATTCTTTTATTACTATCACCCTCATATTACAGTATGTACCTTGAACAATTTCCAAAGACAGAAATATAATGACACAGAGTATTACTTGTTTTGATATCTTATGTATTGTATCTCTCTCAGACATTTATGTTTGTTTATTGTCCCAAATATTGTTAAAGATGCTGCTATTTTTTTAAAGTTTAGTTCTAATGTTCTATAGAACAAATTCTACCAAAAATGGAATTAACAGGGATATATATGTAACAACAAAAGATCTACTTTCTTTGACAGAATAACCCCCCCCCCCTTTAGCTCTTTTTAGTTTTTTAGCTTTTTAAGTGTAAATTGGGTTTTAATTGGATTGTTTTAAATTGTGGGCCAAAGCTGTATAATTATTTTAATTGATTTTAAATTTTGTATTGGTATGTTTTTTATCCTTGGCTGTGCACCGCCTTGAGTCCAAATAGGAGAAGGGCGGTATATAAATTGAATTAATAATAATAATAATAATAATAATAATAATAATAATAATAATAATAATAATAATAATAAATTTGCTTTGATAATTTTTGATATATGCAAGAAATACTCCAGTGAGAAATTTTGGACAGTGAGGAGGCAGGAAAAGCATAGTATTGTTTTGTTCAATTTTAAAGTATGCTGTTCTATTTTCTGATATTGCCAAACTCTCTATATTAATCCATATAATTAAATTTATTTTCGTAGGAATAGAATATAGTAATGATACCATGAATGATGCAAAGAATATTCTTCACATAATACATTCTTTTATAAGTAGTGCCAATGCCTACATGAAAGGACAGTTTAACTGTGATGCCATTAGGGAAGATGAACTTTGGGAGAAGTAAGTGCTATGTATTCTCCTTTATAATTTGAATTTGTGATTGGCCTGGTGCCTTATGGAGAAGAGTAACACGGTAGAAATCAGAAGAGAACTGCTTCAAGCAGCAGGCATAATTTTAAGATATTCCCTTGTAATTAACTTCTGCATGTAAAAGTGATATATAAGGGTGACAATTTAATGTGAGTTGGTTGTCTGCTTGTTGGGTGCCATAGACTGCAAGTGGGAAAATAATGGAGTCGACTTTTAGTTCATTTTCCTATATGTATGTGGGCAGCATCTCTTCTAAAGGCTGATTTTTGTGCAGTGCCATGGGTGTCCAAATATTAAAAATAAATTAATGACAAATTTTAGTAAATCTCATGTAAAAGCATGAACAACTTGCATGATTCAGCCACTTCATTTTTTAAAAATGGAGCCATCTAGTGGTGGTTTGGGCACCTCAATGCCTACAAGTGCCAGGTTCTTAACCCTCTACGTGTATGTTAACAATTCCAAAGTTATCTTGTCTAGACCTAAAATTTGAGTGATGAAATGGCTTTTGTTTTGTGTCCGAATAAACAAAACAAGCAATTCTTCACTTTTATTTTTTTAAGTAGGACACTATCATGAGTGAATTATTGCTAAACTGCAACTTTTAGCCTTCTTAGCCAGCGTGCATTTCATACATCCTAACACAGACACACACATTACACCCGCATGCCTAGAACAGGGATAATTGTAGGAAATGCCTGTGGCTTCCATTTAAAGCAGTTTTTCAGTTTGACATCTGAATCATTTGCTGACTGGCTTATAGCAATGAGACAAAGTTTTGTTTCTGGTATCTTACATTCTCCATTTTTCTTCAAGACTAGCTCATACTAAGACAACAGTAGAGGCAGCATGTGCAGATGACTTTGACACTCCCAGGGCTATTCATGCAATTTTGGACCTCATTCACTATGGCAACAGACAGCTTAAAATCGTCACTAAGGTAACCCATTGGCACACAAAGATCAGAAAGTGACAGTTGTCTAATTCTATACTAACTGAAATCAATGTATTATTTTTCTAGAAAAAGTGATCAGGAAAAAATGGCAACGTTTCATTCCTATAACAAGCTTTATCCGTACTGCATTTGCAAAAAGTCAAAATTAAATGTGTGATGCTTGAAATTGCTCAAATTTTATTTTGGTCATTACTGTGTTGGATTTGTAGCAGTTTATGAAGGATGCCGTTTTCTTTGCTAATCATTGGATTTTCTTACTTCTCGTTCTGGAGAGGCCTTTCCTATCTCACCTCCTCAAACGGTGGTTGATTGTGAAGGGTTTTTAAAAGCTTCCCTTGCATTTGTTGCACAGCTTTGTAAACCAGAGATCACAAAATTCTTCCGCTCATTGACCTCTTCAATGAAATTTCAGGTTGTTCATCGACACCCAAACATTTATTATATGAAAATAATTTAAGAAATATTTTAGCTAATCATACTGTGAATAATATTAAAGTTGAGAGCTATGCTGGTGGTAGTGTGTTCTACTGGAAGGTTCACTCATGCTAGACAGGTCTTCGCGGAAGAGCCAGACTGATGTATCTTTCAGTCTATTCAATATGGTGATAAAACAGAAGAACAATCCTATGCTGAATTGCTCATTACCCAAGTCAAAAAGGACCATCAGAATTTAACAGAATAAATTTAACAGAATAACAGTTGGAAGGGGCCTTGGAGGTCTAGTGCAACCCCCTGCTCAAGCAGGAGACCCTATACCATTTTCAGACAAATGACTAATCCAGTCTGCTTTTAAAGTCTCTAGTGATTAAGCACCCACAAGTTCTGAAGCTATTCCACTAATTTATTGTTCTCACTGTCAGGAAATTTCTCCTTAGTTCTAGGTTGCTTCCCTCCTTGATTAGTTTCCATCCATTGCTTCTTGCCTTGCCTTCTGGTGTATTGGAAAATAGGTTAACCCCCTCTTCTTTATGGCAACCCTTTAGATATTGGAACACTACTATCATGTCATCCCTAGTCCTTCTTTTCAGACTAGACATATCCACTTCCTGCAACCATTCTTCATATGTTTAGCCTCCAACCCCCTAATCATCTTTTTTGCTCTTCTCTGCACTCTTTCCAGAGTCTCAACATTTTTTATAATATTCTGGTGACCAAACTTGGTGCAGTATTCCAAGTCTGGTCCTACCAACGCATTATAAAGTGGTACTAACACTGCATGCGATCTTGGTTCTATCCCTATGTTAATGCAGCCTAGGATTGCATTGGCTTTTTTGACAGCTACAGTACACTGCTGGCTCATATTTAAGTGATTGTCCACTAGGGCTCCAAGAGCCTTCTCGCAGTTAGTGCTATTGAACCAAGTTTCACCTAATCTGTACCTCTGCGTTTGGTTTTTCTTGCCTAAGTGCAAAAGCTTACTTTTCTCTATGTTGAATTTCATTTTGTTGAATAGGGTCCAATGTTCAAGTTTGTCAAGATCCATCTGGATATTGAGCCTATCTTCTGGGGTGTTGGCTATTTCTGCCAGCTTGGTCCATAGCATTTGGTGGTCCACTAATTGAGTCCACTTTGCTAAAGAATGAAATAAGATTTGTTTGGCATGGTCTGTTTTTGACAAACCGATGTTGGCTTCTGACTTTGCTTGCTTCTAGGTGTTTCAGATTCGTTGCTTGATTATCTTTTCCAGGTTCTTCCCAGGTATTGATTGCAGGCAGATTGGTCTGTAGTTTCCTGGATCTATTCTTTTCCCTTTTGAAGATTGGAACCACATCAGCTCTTTTACTTTTTTTATTTTTATTTTATTTATTCATTTCTTATTAAAATATTGGAGACAGTGCGACCTTCCTGGTGTTATCTTTTTCAATCCTCTGGTAGTTCCCCAGTGTTCCAAAGATATGGTTCAATGATTCCAAGATCACGTCTGCCAACTCCTTCAGAACTCTGGGATGTAATCCATCATGTCCTGATGATTTGAACATGTCTAGAGTGGAGAGATGTTCTCTTACCATTTTCTTGCCTATATTAATTTGAATCCCTAGTGTGTCTTTTATTTATTTATTTATTTATTTATTTATTTATTTATTTATTTATTTATTTATTTATTTATTTATTTATTTTTGAATTTGTATACCGCCCTTCTCCCTGAGGACTCAGGGCGGTGAACAGCCAAGTAAAAACATCAAGTACAAATATTAAAATACAGTTAAAATATATATATATAAATTTGGCCCCTTTAATTAAAAACAATAAACAAAACACTTAAAAACACTTAAAAAATTAGGCTTTTAGGGTTCTGTCTTTGGTAGGTTGGGCTATTTTTTCTTTTTGTGTGAAGACAGAATGCAAAGAAAGAATTAAGCAGCTCTGCTTTCTCCCTGTTGCCTGTCACTTCTTTGCCATCATCTCCCATCAGTGGACTGATTGTTTCTTTGACTTTTTTCTTGTTCTTTTTATACGTTGAAAGATTTTTAAAAATTATTTTTGACATTTGTTGCAAGTCTTACTTCATTCTGAGCTTAGCTTTCCTGACTTCATTATTGCAGATTCGAGCTATATGCTGGTATTGTGCCTTAGTTATGTGCACCACTTTCCATTTTTTATACTTATCCTTTTTATCTTTCAGTTTACCAGAGGGTATCCTCAGGTGTTAGAGCTCCTGGGTATCTGACAAAAAGTAGGCAACAGGACTCAGGAGCCATGTCTGAGCAATCAGGGCCTGGGCCTGTACGATTGTAAGAATAGCAACCACAGATAAGACAAAAGTATACTGCGTTTGAAAATTATATGGATATGGCCTGCTATTATAAAGCAGAACTAACAAATACTTAAAGTGAATGTTTGAATCTTGGGGAAAAAATTATCCAGTACAGATATCACTGAATAACAGTTAGAAGACCAAAGGAGATTCATTTTCAGAAATAAAATATTCAGGGATGCAGAACTGGAGGAGATTAAGAAAAATTGTAAAACTGGAAGACTGCAAAACAATAGAATAGTAGAAAAGCCTCAGAAAACAATTGTAAATATAAAGAAAAAAATTTCAGCCAGCAGAGTGCTGCAGGAGGCCATGGAGACCGAAAACGAGGCGTGGGGGGGACTTTGCGTGGCTCCCCACACCCTGTTTTGGCCGGTAAAGTGCTGCAGGAGGCGGCCGTCCCGTCTCCCCCCTTCCCCTCCGGCCTGCAGAGGAGAACTATAATGCTGATCTGGCCCTCAAAGAAATCCAGTTTAATACCCCTGGATTATACCATCAGGCTGCTAAGTTTTACAACCACAGTACTTTTGATAACAAAGGCAGTAGAACTTGTTTCCTTTTGAATGATAGTTTGGCAAGTCATTTTAGTGATGAAGGACATATAGGAGAAGAGATGAAATAAGGTGCTCTTGCTCGGACTGCGCAAAAGTATTTGGAAAGGTACTTCTCAACCTACTCCTTGAAGTATCAAGCTTCTTTAAACTTCCTGAGATGTTTTTTCTGTATTCTCAGTTTCTCAGTTTAATAAGAATGTGATTATCTATGCTTTTTTCACAATTTCTGCTTCCTTAATTCTGATAGCATTTCAGAATATTTCTCAATTTAGACTTCAGATAATAAAAGTACTAGGTGGATAAGTCTGGCATGCCCTGTGGTTCTGTAGATGGAAGCTTCACTCTTTCCTTCTTTCTGTTCACTCTTCAGTTGTTTTAGTAACTTTCTGTGCAATATAGGTAGTCCTCGACTTACAACAGTTCACTTAGTGACCAAAGTTACAACAGCACTGAAAAAAGTAACGTTTTTCATACTTATGACCGTTGTAGCATTCCCATGGTCACGTGATTAAAATTCAGACACTTGGGAACTGACTCACATTTATGACCGTTGCAGTATCCTGGGGTCATGTTGTGTCCCTTTTGCAACCTGACAAGCAAAGTCAATGGGAAAACCAGAGTCCCTTAACAACTGTGTTACTAATTATACAACTGCAGTAATTCATTTAACCAGAAAGGTCATAAAATGGGGCAAAATTCACTTAACAAGTGTTTCACTTAGCAACAAAAATTTTGGGCTCAATTGTGGTCATAAGTTGAGGATTCCCTGTAGTTAGATATTTTTGAACATGGTTTTAAGAGAATTGTTTTTATGCATCTCGTGTTGTCCTATCTCCCTTATAATTGTAGCTCCCTTTGTTACCATTCGAAAATTTCCATTCTTGGATAAAGAGAGTTTAGGAAATGTTTAAGATAACACAATTTCTGCGAAGTTGCTTTCCAAAATGGTTGGGAAATGCTTCATTTACATCTTGAGTTCCTGTGCTGAAGCCTTGGTCACCAAAATGACTGGTTTGTTATTCCACCTTTTTCTTTGTATCTATTTTGAAATCAGGAAACAAGATCCCCTAGAAGTACTATTGTGTTTGGGGCCATAGTCTCCTACCTCATGGAATTTTTTAACACAGTTGGAATCACCTTTGCTGAAAGTCAGGTAAGACAGCAGTCCACTTACAACAGTTAGTTTAATGACCGTTCGAAGTTACAATGGCACTGAAAAAGGAGATTTATGACCATTTTTCATCTCCATGATTACATGATCAAAATTCAGATGCTTAGCAACTGACTCATATTTATGACAGTTGCAGTGTCCTGGGGTCATTAGCTCACTTTTTGCAAACTTCTGACAAGTAAAGTCAATGGGGATGCCAGATTCACTTAACAACCATATTACCAATTTAATACTCCAGTGAAACAACGGTGGCAAGAAATATGGCAAATTTCACTTAACTGACTTGCTTAGCAACATAAATTTTGGGCTCAATTGTGGTTGTAAGTCAAGGACTACCTGTATTTGGTGTCCATTGTTAAGAATTTTATGTATTTAAGCATACGATGCTGTGGCCACTCTAGGCAATCTCCTGAGGAGCAGCAACTGTTGCAGACTTTAAAAAATGGAACATGTTTTTCCTGCTCTCAGTGGAGCCAGATTTTCAGCACAGGACTTTGACATGTTTCCCACCACTCTATAGTCCACAAAGAAGAAAGCAGTTCTGTAATGACCTCTTGACTTGAGCTTACATGCGAGTGCTGTACTGTTTGCTACCTCTGAACTGTTTTCTTTGATGGGATTTTATTAAGGTTGAACTTAGTCTTAATTTAAAATTGGAAAAATGCTTTTTAGATTCAACACTCTTTCCTGTGGCAATGGGACAACTCACCACAGCTAAATTGCTGCGGCCAACTTGCCACGAGACAATTTAACAATTCTATTTAATTATTTAAAATAAATATTTTAATTTTGGCCATTCACATTTTATTCTGTTCCTCCTTTTGCATCCTTTCTTTAATTATTCTACTCAACCATCTTTGATATTAGTGTAACTCTTTTCCCTCAGCGAGTTGTCCTGTGGTGAATTGGTTGCAGCAAGTTGTCCGTGGCAAGTTGGCTGCAGTGAATTGTCATAGATCTCTTTCCTGTTGCATCATTGCAGTTATAATTGACTTTTATTGGCACATACCGGTATACATATTATTGGTCTCGATTTTAATTTTACCGTTATTATTACTTTTATTTTTATTTGTGCTCCTCCAGAAGCACCCAGAATGATGTACAATAATACTGAAAATCAGTCTTTAATAAAGACAAACTTGATTATGATCTGTAGGTTCTCTCTGAATACAAGCATTCAGCTTTGCTCTCCAGTGTGATAGATGAACTAGTGAGCTTCCGGATCAAAGTGCGCAATTTTGCTCTTGCTACCCCTGAGGCTGAAGAAAGTCCATCTGCCCAAAATGCTGACCTGTCAGAAGAAGTAAAACTGCAGCAGAAAGAGGAAAGGCAGCAACGGTTGCAGGAGAGAATGCCCCTTCTGCTGGCATGTGACCGCCTTCGCAAAGACTTGGCCATATATGGCATCAACATAAAGGTTTGTCTCTGCATTGTCTAAGCTCTGATTATTTTTATTTTACTGACTGTGTAAGCAAGTCTAGGAATAAGACTCCAGCTGTACTTTTCCTTCACACTTAAAACAGGCAGTGTCCTTTCTTCTGCTCCATACTGTAACATAAAAAAAATCTTAAGAGTAGGTCTGACCTGAATCCCTATGTTTGATTGAAGAATGTCGTCTCTCAGTAATACTGGGCTAGCTGCGTTTGCAGATGTTCTATCTGGGAACAACATGGTTAAGATTAGAGAGGCTTCATTGTTTTGAAGGGTCACTGGGAAATTTTAAATATTTGCGTAGTCCTGTAATTGCAAATTTACTTGTTCAAGCAGCTTTTGCTTTTCTTGATCTGCCTAGGTACTAGAATGACCAGGGATCCCCCGGACCAGCAGATTTTTTAAATAGAGGAATAAGTGCTTCCGAAAAATAAGGAGTGTTTAATTCAGTCACATCATATACATATTTATTCAATTCCTGCTAAGGGAGAAAGTCAGATAAAGATGAAAATTAAGCAGTACATACTGTATGAGGAGGTCATCTTCGGTAGAAATAAAGATAACTGATTTCAAAGTTATTCCAGTGAAACATACGAACAATAATGATATTGCACTCCAGGAACTATTTAGCATATCAATTATTGGGAGTTGTTTTGCTAGATCCCATAATATTAAACTGAAAGCACAGGGAAAGCAGAAAATTTGTAGGTATGGGGGCAGATAGGGTGTTTCTGGGAAAAAGTATAGCCCACCACTTCAGTTTGTTAAGCTATGGAAAGCTTAAATCAGGAAATAAGGTTTATGTGAAATCTAAAATGTTATCAGTAAAATATTACACTCAAGACAGAAAATACCAGTCAAAGAAAACACAAAGGATGCAACATATTGCAGTCTAATAGGTTTTTATTTTATTTTTTTCAAAATAGCATTGTCAATAAGAAATCAAGCGTTCTGAGTTTGTACTTTAAAGGCTAACCCTAGTTCCTTCATAAAGTCAACTTCAGTCAATAATTCCCTGAACTAAAATTGAGTCTTGTGGATCAATGATCCTTTCCTTAAATACATAATTACACAAGTGGAAAAATACAATTGTTTCCATTATACTGGAATGATACAATCACATTAAAAATGTGGGATTTGATCTAAGCCATTTGTTAAAAGATTAAGTGAAATGTTAAAAGTCTGAAGTTTACCCAAACCTGAATATTTTTAAACTATAATTTGATTTATTCAGCTCATATTTTTATAATTGAATGACAGCTGTCATAACCACTGTTTGACTTCCACAGATTAGATCTGCAAAAGTAATATTATGGGAAGCTGGTTTCCTGATTTCTGGCTAAGCATCCTTAGATTTGTATAGACTTCCACATTCAGCTTTGATGAATGCAATTCTCTGCTCTTTCTCTCTTATCCCCACCCCGTTCCCCAAAATATTTATAGGATAGAAGCTCTACTTCTACATGGGAATTTGAGCAAAATCAATAATGAACTGGAAAAGCACTGATAAAAAGACAGATGTACATTTGGAGTGATTATAATCATTTTTAAAGAAAAACCAGATCACAGGATAAAGACTATTGCCCCTTGGATTTCTGGACTTTTATTCTAAAGCAACTTAAATAAAATATTGTCAAAAAGTCTAGTTTGGTGATTTGAGGAATACAAGTGTTGATTTACTGATTGTGAGATTTACTGATTTACCTATGTGAGAATTTAGTTACTTCAGACAAGTCTTCTACAATAGTAGAAATTTTCTAGTGAAACCTTGGTCAGCTCTAATGATTCAAGCTTATTCCCATCTGTTATAATCATATGGTTGAAATGAACCTCTCTACATGTTCACACTTTTGAATGATTTTGACTGAAGTATAACATAATTAAAGTATGGCTTAGTTTAACATCACCAAAAGTACCAAATGAAGTGAATTTTTTGAGAACAGGGATGAATTATAGATTTTATATTGTAACATCAAAAGTCTACTTTGTAGCAGAATTTCATATCGGATTTAACCGTTTTCTTTGGCTGATACCAAATGAGTATTTCAAGAACTAAAGCACAGAGCATGGTCTGTGGAAGTTGAAGCTGTCCTCAGCAGGTGCCTTGTTTCCTACAGTGTCAAGAAACATCCAGATGAACAGAGCCAATGGCAAAGCAGAGACATTTGGGCTTTTTGAAGACAGCATATTTTTTTTAATAGTGTGTGGAAAAGATCAAGTAACAAGCACAGATTGGAAAGTGTAGAAGCAAGGGGCATTAAGAAAAGAGTTTCCCAAAATAGGCAGGTTCCGTATAATATCTGGGGTTCATTCCCTCAAAAAGGAGAGACTAATGTTTTAACCGAGTATGAAGGATACAATATTTGGCCAGAAAATGTTGGATGACACTTCAGAAAAGCCCTGCCTTTGCCACTGTAGCCCCTCATGAATGACTATATGATATTTTCTGTGACTGATTACATTGATCAGAAACAGAAAAGGTTTAGGTAGTTTTTCTGCAGAATTACTTAGAGCTTGTTCGTATCCTTTTGAAATATTGCTATCTATGGGCATTTCTGTTTAGGGGCTATTCTGATTCATGTTGCCTATAGAAAAGCAAGCAAAAGAACGATGAAATCACAATAAACATTCTGTTTACCAAATTAGCAATTTTAGGGTTTTTCTCTCTGCTGTATATCCTTTTCCTAATTCCTCAAAAAAAGCACATATACAGTCATGTGAAAAAGTAAATATATCCATGTAGGGTTTTTTGGAGGGACATGTACGTGGACATAACATTTTTAGTATATAAAGTTATTTTAGCCATTGTCTATCCACTGCACGATGAAGGCCACTTCTGCATGTTTCCACCCAATACGGTCCTGAGCTTCCTTTTGTCAACTGAGCTCCCAATACTTGATGTTGTAGTTCCATCTTGTTTTAGGTCTCTTTCGTGGATGAATCGGCAAGTATTGCAGGCCCAATTGGCAAAAGAAAGCTGAAGAGGCCTTCACCTTGCAGTGGATAGACAATGGGTAAAATGATGGATGATTACATCAACTTTATATACTGAAAATATGTCTATGTACACATCAAAATAAGTTGATGTAATTGAACTGAAATACGAAAAATTGACATTACAATAGTTTATTCAATAAAAATTAACATATGCCATTTCTATGAAAAAGTAAATAAACTTTTGGCAGAAACCACTTCTTATCATTGTCTACCAATCTCGAGAGTTTTTCCATGCCTCATCCAGAATTTTTTTCAGCTGTGTAATGTTTGAAGTTTTCTTGTGTGCATATCCCATGGCCAATCACTACAGCATCTTGATGTCATTTATATGTGTATTTTGGCCATTTAAGCACTTTCATTTTTTTTCTCCAGCTATTCTTTGGTGGATTCACAAGCAATAGCAATATATTGCTTCACAGTGCTTTACAGCTTTCTAAGCAGTTTACAGTCAGCATACTGCCTCCAACAATATGGGTTCACATTTCACCAACCTCGGAAGGATGGAAGGCCGAGTCAACTTTGAGCTGATGAGGATCGACTGTTTAAGGTCATTGTCCAATTGCTTGGCCATTTTTTCAGATCCCTTCCCAGAGTCATAAGACATCTATAACCTTATTTTCTGACTGCCTCGGAGTACTTGAAGAACAAATAAAACGAAAAGCAGAATGAAACGTCGGTGGTTTTAATAAGACAAGTTTCTCTCTGATCCTGTCATTATAGGTAGTCTTCCACTTATGACCATTTGTTTAATGATCACTTGAAGTTATGTTGGTGGTGAAGGGTGGCTTACAACTGGTCCTTGCTTTTGCAGCATCCCCAAAGGCACAAACAAAAATCAAGCACTTGCCAATTGGCGTGTATTTATGACATTTACAGTATCCTAGTGTCAAATTATGAGTTTCCCAGCCGGCTTCCAACAAGCAAAATCAATTGGGGATGTGGATTCACTTAATAATTGCATGATTCACTTAACCAATTGATTTGCTTAGTGACTACAGCACAAAGGTCATCATATGTGACTTACTTAATGACCACCTCACATAGCAACAAATGTTATAGTCCCAATTGTGGTTGCAAGTCAAGGCATACCTGTATGTTCTAATCATTGGCCCCTGCTCTCTTGTAACTAAAGTCTTATAAGAATATCTGAACTGGAGCTTAATGTAGAAGTGTATTTACTTTTTCCACATGCAAAATTTGCATTCATATTAATATCAATTATAAGGAACTACAAATGTAACTGAGGCATATTTGTTATATCCCCTTTAGCAATATTGTTAAAATAAAATTCAAATATCTTGAGCAGTTAAAAAAAATCAATGGGATGTTATTTACTTGATTATGTGACCATAGGCATATTTATACAGGGAGTCCTCAACTTTCAACCGTAACTGAGCCCAAAATTTCTGTTGTTAAGTGAGACATTAAGTGTATTTTGCCCCATTTTATGACTTTTCTTGCCAGTTGTTGTGAATCAGTTGGTAAGTTAGTAACCTGGTTGTTAAGTGAACCTGACTTCCCCATTGACTGCTTGTGAGTAGGTCACAAAAGGTGATCACATGACCTTGGGATACAGCAATGGTCATAAGTATGAATCAATTGCCAAGCATCTCAATTTTGATCACATCATCATGGGGATGCGGCAAAGGTCGTAACTCTGGGAAAAGTCATAAGTCCCATTTTTCAGTTGTAACTTTGGACAGTCACTAAACAAATGGCTCTAAGTGGAGGACTACCTGTATTATCTACACTTTTGGCACCCTGGAAATTGCACATTATTGATTTCTCTTTCAGTTTTCAAAAAATGGATACCGTGTTTCCCCAAAAATATATTTTTTTGAACCCCGAAATAAGCGCTTGGCCTTTTTGGAGAGGTCTTATTATTTGGGGGTGCGTGGAGCAAGATGGGGCTCCTCTTGCCATTTTACCTGATTTCCAGCTCTGCATTTAAATATTTTCGGGGAGGGCTTATTTTCAGGAGAAGGCTTATTTTAGCACATGCGCTCAAAAGCCCGATTGGACTTATTACCAGGGGATGTCTTATTTTTGGGAAAACAGGGTAGTTAACAAATGGTATAAGAAAAGGATTTGATTTGCATTGCAACTTCAACAGAAAATGAGCAGCATACTGCCCACTTTTAACTTGTGAGTTGTCAAGTACAGCCACTGTAATTTCAATGCCTTCTTGTAAGCTAAACAGACTATTGTGTCTGCATGCTTACATATGAAGGGAGAAAGAATGCACATATATGAACACCCAAATGGGGTTACTGGTTTCGTCCATGCCTCTCAGTCTCCTGGCTGGCTTGAATAAGGGAAATCAACAGGTTTTTTAATATACTTTCCTGCAGCAGAGAAAGGAGCAGGTCTTATCTCTAGAGGGAGCGGCTTCCACAGCTCCATGATTATATCTGCTAACCATTTTGATCTTTAACTCTACTACAGTCGTTCATTCCCCTTTTTGTTCTTTTCACAGAATAGCCAGTAAGTTCACTGAAGTGAAGAATAGTGTTGTTTGTGTCGTGTCTCCACCCTACCCCGCCCTGTCACCTAAGTCACTCTGCAGGAATCTGACAGATGAGTTTGTTCCAAGTACTAATCTTAGTGGATGTTTATGGGAATTACAACTGTGGTTGAGGTAACCATAGTCAGTGCCCAGCATGGAACTCAGTTTCACAAATTCCCCTTCTCTTGCAAAAACTAGAAATTGCCCATCTGTTTAATCCTGTGAGTGAGCACTCTTGAATTCAGAAGTGTGGAGAGCAGTGTTTTTTAAATTTGGCAACTTAAGATGTGTGTAGAGGAATTTAAAAATTAGCTGCCATTGTCCTGGATCAGAAGGAGACAACAATAGAAAAGTGTACTTTTACCCCTTTTGCTTTATATGACAGGATTTGGCTACGCTATACAGAACCAGAAGCCCTAATACTGTGATGGTGAACCTATGGCACGTGCGCCCGAAGTGCACACGGAGCCATATCGCCTGGCATGCACGGTGTCGCCCGTTCCTCTTCTGGGTTTTTGGCACGCATGTGACGATCAGCTGGCTTTTGTGCGTGCGGCAGTGCCGGAAACCAGAAGAGCTGGTCTTCCGTTTTCCGGCATGAGCTTGTGCGCCGGCTAGCTGAAAGGTGCATGCACAGCAGTAACCAGAAGACTTGTTGGCTGGTGTGCACATGCATGCCAGAAACCAGAAGTATCTTATCTGGCGCGTGCATGCCCCTGGGCAGCTCCTCTTCCTGGTTGCAGCCCTGACGAGCGCACATATGCATGCAAAGTGCACCCGCACATGAAGTGGTCCCTTTTCAGGACTTGGTGGCGCACTTGCGTATTCCCTTTTCAGCACTCGATGCCGAAAAGGTTCGCCATCACTGCTTTAATATATATGCAAATACTACTTTGGGTACCAAGAAAGCTTCCTGAATTTGATTTTTAAAAACATTTTATTAAAATAGGAAACTGGCATGCTGCAGAACAAATGTCTTGACTTGACATCTTTATTTTCAAGAATGCTTCTAAGTTCCAAATGAGCCCCATCACACAGGAAAAAAGCTTATTGTGTAACAGGACGCATCCTTGTGGAGCTAACTTTCTCATAACCAGTTGCTTTGTATTGGTTCCATCACCAGGACAGCTATTTTCTAAATGAAAACAGCAACCCAAAATCCATTTTTGAAGGAAATTTTGCAAAGTAATCCAAATGTTCTTATCAATTCAAAAAGTTGGGGACTCCTGTTCTATTCATGAACAGGTCTTGAGAGAAGGTTAGAGAAAGGCTTTGCTTAATCCCTTGTGACATCCACATGGAAATAAATTTCGAACTGAATACTATTGTACGGACAGTTGATGGAATAAATGAATTCTTATTTATTTTTCTGCAGAGATAAATGAAAATTACTGCAGTGATGAGGCAAGTAAATGCAACTTAAAAAGGAAACACCAGTTCAATGTCTTGTCACAGATTCATTAGCCAGGTCAGGATGAACAAATACTCGCTATAGTTATTTCAATCTGTCATTTTTATTTCCTCAAAAGAAACTCCTACAGTTTCAGAAAATTTCAAATGTAAATCTTTATACACTAGTGAACAACATAAAAAACAGGCAGATTTAATGTAGTTTATTCATTTGAACCACCTGAAAAATTGGACATTTGGTTTCCCTAAAAATTTAACTTATATTTACCTTTCCCATTGCTCAGCTCTAATGATGGTTTACATTTTACGGGAGAGCTCTGGTACGTTAACTGAAAACAATATATACTGTATGATTAACATCTTCCTTTTGTCAAGATCTTGCTGTGACTTCAACAACACAGGGAATCCATTCCACTTTATGGGTCTAACAACCACAAATGAAGCTTCTTGATTGGTTGACTTGTTTCTCATCCTTTTGCAACTCAAATAACTTCAGATTGTATAATGGAGCAGACATGAGAGATAACAGGGTTTAGACACAACTTGCCTGTCCTACTGTAGATTCCCTTCAACATGCAAGAAATAAAAATTTCCACTGAGTGGTTTATATGTGGATGCTAGTCATATAAAACTTCGGTGTACTATAACATCCTAGTCACCTACACAGATAGGAAGAATAATGATTAAGTTCTGCAATTTTCTGGAAGTAGGAGTACAACATGAGATCTGCTTCAGGCAAATTCTAGTTTTGAAATATTTTTGATTCCAGAGAAACAGGCTCTTATTTAGAGTCAATTCAAAAATTCAGAAAGAAAAATCATGCCAGTCTGTACAATCGGAAGCAAGGCCCACCGGTACTTTCTTCCCAGTTGTCCTATTCTTCCACATATAGTAGAGCTATCCCTCAACCATACTTCCAAGGAGTATAACCTGTACTTTAATTTTTTTAATGAGCTGTGCTCTGAACTTCGATAGAACCAAAGAAAAGAAGACTCTTAATATAAAGAAAACAAATGTATTGTTCTGAGGTAGAAATCTCAGTGCATTGAAATGTTAACCATAAGCACTGAATTTATACAGAGCAATTTCCTGCTTGCACAAAGAAAGTTAGCATTAAATGGTGTTTAACTACTGTTACGTGTAACAAACCCCAACAGCAACTGTTTGTACCCACAGAGGAGTGCTAATTTAGCACTAGAAAGTCTACACTAAGGCTTGTTGTCCACATATATGCTTTGGAATAAGCTCCACTGAATTGTTGGACATTATTTCTGAGTAAATATGCATAGTAGCAAGTTGTTAATAATTCAAGTAAACCAATTATATCCCATCATCTTTCTATGCAGTCTTTTGAAAACCATTATTACGAGATGGAACTGCTGAAATCAAAATATTTAGTTCATCAATCATTCCAAATTAAGCTTTTTCATTCAGTAAAGCTAACAGGATACACTTAGGGCAGCTGTATGCTCTTGGATGGTTCTACAGCCTTTATTACAATGATGCTGAATATTAAGAATGAATTGCTATTGAGCTTTGAACTATCTTCTCTCTAAATTGCAGTCTGCTGAGTGATCTTATTGTGCAATTAAGGTTAATTCTTCACTTTTCATTTTTGAATCACTTCAATGCTGGTGATTTTTCCCCCCCTAAAAAACACGTCCACGTGCAGTAGTATGTTACAAGGTGATTTTTAATGCTAGTATAAAAGCATGAAGGGCACTTTCTATTGACAGCTATTTCTGTGCAAAGACTACGCAAGAATTGCTTATGGTGAACTGTTTCTAAAACATTCCCCCTTTTGTAACATAACCTGCTGAACCCCTAATTCCAAGTATGCCTGATTTCTCCACAAATGATTTGGTTTTATGTTCTAAACTAGCACTGAATAATAGATGAAGCTTTAATATATTCAGCTAAACAAATTCTATTTTCACATGCCATGATTTACAGCTTCTTGGTGCTGCTTTACAGCAAAAACTAGCAATGCCTCCTCCCTCCTTTCCTTTTAAAAAGGAACAAAAATTAGTGTCTTTACAGACCAAGGAGTCAAAGGCAATTTGCATGCAGTCTCTGCTCAAAGACGGCACTTATCAAAAGTGGCATACTAAGTGCACAGAACTGAACCTCTGCAATTGTTAGGAGAACAAAGCAAATTAATTCTTGCAAATCAAATTAGGAAGATGAGCTGGTGGAAGAATATTGTATTACAAGCCACCAAAGTTAAGTACTTTAAAACCCCATTTATTTCAACGGGAGAGCTTCACATATAGTTAATTTTCCTTCCATTGAAATTAGTAAGTCCAGGGCCATGAACATTTAAATAATTATCTCAAAAGTGCTTTTTCAAAAGGCAATTGAACTGTGTTTCTTTTCCCTTGAGGAAGATGACATTTCGTTTATAATTCAAGAAGCTTCATCAGTTCTAACTGGATGATGGGGGTGTGGAGAGGGGGGGAATGGAAGGATCGTATTTATTTTCAGTCATCTGGTCGTTAGCACTCTCTTTGAGAGCCATTGAGTCTCAGAGAGTAAGTTCTCAGAGAATGCTAAAGACCAGATGACTGCAAAGAAATATGGTCCTTCTATCCTCCCCCCATCATCCTGTCAGAATTGATGAAGCCTCTTGGATGAGAAGTGAAACTCATCTTCCTCAAGGAAGAAAGTCCAGTTGCCTTTTGAAAAAAGCACCTTTGAGACAACCATGACTGGATGACTGGGAATCTCCACAGACCTTTAAGTACTTACTAGAAAATAAGCCCTGTTGAATTCAAGTTACATATACATGGGCCTCATGAATCCACAGTTGGCTGATCTTTATGTTGCCTATCAAGTGAATATTATTTGCTACTAGTAATTATTGCTCAAAAACCAACCTGTAAGATAGAACAGAGGAAATACTTTCAGTTTTGTTTTATTATAACGTCTGCAACTACAGCTTATTCATCCCAAAAAAGGAAAAGAAAAAAATTTATTCCAAACCCTTTAAAAATACCTACCCTTTTTTTATTTTAAAAAATAAAAACTACCTAGTATACCATTACTGCTAACAGCACTTGAAAAGGGGTGCATTGTACAAGGATATCCTACTGTAACTTTCGTGGCTGCCAGACTTGTTCTTCTTTTTCCTCTTCCGCTGCTTTGGTCTTAGGTTTCAAAGAGTTTATTAAAGGCTGTTCCAATTTCTAAAACCATGTCAGAGGCTGTCATAGATCGTCCAAATTTCTGAAAGGCTTGGTTGTTGCACTGCCTTGTAAGTGAACATGCTCCAAATGCAGCCACTAGAAAGGGATTTTGACTAAAATAGAAACAAGAATCCCAATTAAATCTGAAATGAGCATGACTATTCCCCCGGAGCACAAACCAACCAACAAATCTTTACTAGCTCTTAGGCCAGTGCAAATAGGACAGTCAGAACATCGAAAAAAAATAAGAATGATGAATCTCATTTGCCCACCAGATCAGAGTTCAAAATATGCTAAATGTCCCAGACCTGTATGTCCAACTGTGGACTAAAATGCAAATAACAATAAAAACATCCAGAACCAGGTAAGGATTCCTCAAAGGGAAAAGGACTAAAAACGACACAGTAACATAAGAAAAAAGCAAGTATAACATTAATGTATACATTTACCAGTGTTATTTTCAGTTCATGCCTGATGAATTTTGCGAACAGTTGCACCAAACATTGCAATATTAGCCATGATGCTAGGTCTATCAGCTGCTAATAGAAATTTATTCATTTGTTTATATATCAAATTTAGAAACCACCCATTTTCTTCACAGAGAGGCTCTGGACAGTGTAAATTGGACATATGCTGAATTGTTCTATAAAGGTACCTTCAAGAGAAGCTGATCAGAATGCATGACATGCCTTACCCATTTGTTTTTTCTGGTCCCGCAAGAAAGGCCCAGTGTGCTAGGACTCCTAGGGACCCAGAGAGGATGTCTCCTTGTCCCCCACACCTCCTGTTGCTTCCTTCGTGGCTACATACAAGCACTGTAACACAAAAAAATGAAAGGAAGTGAAAATACTCAATCCTTATTGAACAGAGCTGTGGGAGAATTGAAAACATGTAGATATGAAATGCAACAGGCATTGTATCTTTACTTACAAAGTTCATTTTTTAAGTATGACCAGAACTGAATTTAACTAATTCATTAACAGAAACTATGGTATTTTATAATATTAATATTTAAACACTGTTATATTTTTATTTTTGCATTATTGCATTAGTCTCAAAGCTTTAAGACAAGAACCTCTTTAGCGACAATTTTTATTTAATAATTTCATTATACATTTTCAAACAGCTCTGATGGCTAATCTATGTATATTTTAAAATCATAAAATATGGTGCTAATGTTGGAATAGTGACATTTTTAACATAATACAGTAGTCAACTTTTGACCAATGACTACCAAAAAAACCTGCTAGTACTTCCTTTATTTTTGATATATTAAATGCTATTAGAAAATAAAACCAAATGCAGGTGCATGCATCTGCCCAGATAGAAAAAAAAAATGTTTACATTTATAAAAATATTTATTTATTTTATTTTATTTTATTCAATTTGTATACCACCCTTCTCCTAGTGGACTCAGGGCGGTGCACAGCCAGAACTAAAACACATACCAATACAAAATTTAAAATTATTTGCTCTGTGTTTCTTTCATATACCTTTTTCTCCATCTGAAATGAGGTCTCGTTCGCCTTTCTGAACAATTGTCAAATTCCCCAAGGCTTGGCTGAGCCTTAACAGACAGCCATGATAATCATTGTTATCTACAGGATCTCTAAGCTAGAGAAGAGCAAAGGGGGAAATCATACAGAATTAATTGCAGCAAGTAATGAAGAAAAGGATTAACTTTCATTCATACTATTTTAAAACTTTTACATTATGAATTGTTAGCTAGCTATCTGCTCAACTATAGTCTCCATCAGCCATGCAAGAAATGTTGCCATATTTGTAACAAGTCTTACTATGTCTCACTTGATTTGTTCACAAGCAATCTGCACATTTTTGTGCAAAAGTAAATGGAGATACCATACTTTTCAGAGTATAAGATGCACTCCCCCCCCCCCAAAAAAGGATGGAAATATTGGTGTGTCTTATACACTGAATACGGCCATTTTTGGCCTACCGAAACCCCGCCCCACGTGGTTTGGGAGGCCAAAAACGGGACACGCAGAGGGTTTGGGAGGCCTGAAAAGTGCTCCTGGGGCTGGGGAGGGCAAAAACAGGACACGTGGGGCGTTTGAAAACGGGCCTGTTTTTTCAAAAAATGGGATGCGCAGAGGGCTTGGGAGGCCTGCAGAGTGCTCCTGGGGGCTGGGGAGGGCAAAAACGGGACATGTGGAGGGTTCAGGAGGCCGAAAACGGGACACGCAAAGGGTTTGGCAGACCTGCAGAGTCAGCTCCTAGGGGCTGGGGAGGCCAAAAACATTTTCCCCCTTGTTTTCCTCTTTGAAATCTTGGTGCATCTTATATTCTGGTGCATCTTATAGTCCAAAATATATGGTATATAAAATAACGGGTACAAAAAATACACTCAAAGCAAGTCCCAGACCTTAGAAGGGTTTTGGAAGATTTTAATTTATGTAATCTTAAAAAACACTAGAATGAAGCTTTCTAAGATACAAGCAATTATTTCAAAACAGAAAGTGATTTTTCAACAAGAGACAGTTGCATTTGATGAGATAATGCTATTCATCATGTAGTAAAGTATGAAGAAGTGCTGGAAGGTTGATCAAACTACTTGAAGATGGATGGTAACTTATTTTTTTTATCTTATTGCACAGAATGTGGTAGGTGCACGGAGGCATATTGTCTCAATTCTTCTCGAACTCAAACTTAACCTAGCCAGCTAGATTTGTGATCTATTGCCTCTACAGTTAGTTCTCACTTACTGACTGCCTCATTCAGTTACTGTTCAAAGTTACAATGGTGTTGAAAAAATAATTTTACAGCCAATGACCACATTTATGAGTGAACAGCATCTCTCAGATTGCGATCACCATTATAGTCAGTGCACACTGTCCTGTGCGTGACCTCGTTTTTCTTTCTTTCTCCTTGCAGAACAGAGATTGGAGAGGAAAGGATTACAAGAGGATATGAAGGCACACAATAAGGCATACTGTATATAGGCTGTCTCCGAACTGTACTTGGGGCTGCACCACTGCATTCCTTTCAATGTGTATTGTCAATTGTGTGCCTGCCTACTCTCTTTTAATCTCTTTTCAATAAATTTAAATACAAACATTAATTCCCTTCTTGTTGATTATCCAATGCCCAGATGAATCTTCCAAAGGGCAGGGGAATGGGACAAGAAATGGGAAAAAGGAAAGCACAGTCATGGACACATGATTTCCTACTTAATGTCGGCTTTGCTTAACAAGAGATCTGCTTGTCCCAATTATGGTCACTAAACAAGGACTACCTGTATATCTATAGGGACTATAGATATCTGCAGGTAGACAAATAACTACAAATATAATTTACATGGACTTTGTCAAAAGCTGCTTTTTCAATGTTCGTTACATAGAAACCATACATAGATTATATACGTTAAGGTGGGCAGCCATATGTGTTTATTAAAGAAAGAAGCAATCTTGAGACTTAATGTACTGATAATTGCATTATTCTCTGGGTGTCACTGCAGTATGGTGAACTTTTGTCCTCTCACCTGGTTGGCAGCCTAGAAATTTATGCTTTTAAAAAGCCTAAACTGGGCTAAAATCACAAAGCCTATTTAATGAATTATTGAAGTTCTACATTAGTAATATTAAATGTAATTTGGATTTGGGGTACCTTTCCTCATGGAAATATAATTAAGAATTATATGGACTCACCATTGCTTCATAGAGTCTGCTAAATTCCATAGCATTTGGAGTAAGAATAGCTCGAGGATAACCCTGAATAAGAGAAGGCTGTTGGGCAATGAGCCATAAACCATCCTGCATGGGACAATAAGAGGAAACATTTAATGACAGGTTCAAAATCATTTAAACAAATTAATAAAATTATCATACTTACAGCATCAATTACAATAGGAATTCCTTTGACCTTGGATTTTTCTATAATGCCCTATTTGTGGAGGAAAAAATAAAAACTTTAAATTAAACATAACACTGAATGGAAAATGCAATTATTTTTCTCCTTTTGCAAAAAGTAATACATTTTAAATAAAAGGCAACTTGAGCGTTTTAAATAAAACAGAATAAAACTCAAACCATTCCAAATAATAAAGCACCTCTTTTAAAAAGCACACTGTATGCTCTATATCACGTTTATTACTCTTGCCATTTTCCTCTTTCTCTTCCATAGTAATATTTTCACTCAAAATATGTTCACGTATGGCTTCACACTTACATTTAGTGAATCTATTGAAGACTTCCCACACATTTAAAAGCACGTATTAAAAATGCATGCAAAGCTAATACAAATAGCTTTTTAAAATAAAAGCAAACTGTAAATATTTAACTATAATAATCCCATTCATTAGAAAACAATTTATATGTAGCTCATTACCAAGTAGGTAACATCATTGGTGTGAGTATGGAACTTGCTCCCTGTTTATACAGTAGGCTTCCCTGCCAATTTTGATGGGGGTGTTATTTTTTTCCTTGGTAGTTCCTTGATTAGTGCATTGTTTGCTGCTTGATCGCTTGCCCGGTTTATGCTTATGCTTATCCATGCTTATCTAGGTGCTGGCTGCTGAAGGGGATGTGTTCTGGTCGTCTTGTTTCCTTCTTAGCTTTATTATCTCTTGAATGTGTGTAAATATGTTGCTTATTGGTGTTCATGGATACACTCTGCTACTCTTCTGCCTGTCTGTCTTACATAGTGACTCTTACAGTTCTCGCACTGAAGAAAGTGGCTTTATTGGGAATTGTTGAAGAAGAACTCAAAGGTGCTTTTTTTCTTCAAAAGGCAGCTGGACTGTTTTTTTCCTTGAGGAAGAAGCTTCTCATCCAAGAAGCTTCATCAGTTCTGATGGTGGTGGTGGTGGTGGGAATGGAAGGATACTATTTGCAGTCACCTGATTGTTAGCATTCTCTGAGAACTGTTGAGTCCACTTGGGGGTTTCTGTGGACTTTGCTGTCTTCAAAAGAGTGACCTAAGGCTTCTGCCTTAGTAAAACATACCAGATGGGAATTTTTTCTCCTTTCAAGAAAAGTTCAGGAGGACTCTCAACCAACAAAACATACATGTACACTTTAAACCCAAGAATATACTAAGGCAGAAGCTTGTCCACCCCAAGAATAAAACATCCAGATACAAACTGAGCAATGTGATATAGGCAATACAATGCAGTAAGACACATCCAGACTTGTACACTGGTGAAACAAAACAGCCATTTCACAAGCACATGGCACAACCTAGTAAAGTAAACCCATCATGACATGATTCAGCAGTCCATCTGCATTTGAAAGACAAAGGTCATTTGTTTGAAGACAGCAAAGTCCACATTTTGGATAGAGACCATTGGTCTGAAAGAGGGGTAAAAGAATCCATCTATGTTAGAATTGAACACCCCTCCCTCAACAGAGGAGGAGGAATAAGACACCACCTATCTCCAATATACGACTCAGCCCTTGCACCAGTTCCAAGAAGATTCCACAACCAATTGCACCCTAATACAGATAACCCTGAGGGCATAGATAATTCCCGAAGTAGCCTCAATAGCTGTTGGAGAGTGCTAACAATCAGATGACTGCAAAGAAATACAATTCTTCTATCTCCCCACCACCATCAATCACATCCTATCAGAACCTATCCTTCCAGCTCCCCACCATCTAGTCTCAACTGCCAATACCTATCCTTCTATCACCCACCCACCCACCCCGATCATCAGAACGGATGAAGCTTCTTGGATGAGAAGTGAAATGTTTTTTCTTCTTCCTCAAAGAAAAAACAGTCCAGTTGCCTTTTGAAGAAAAAAGAACCTTCGAGTTCTTCTTCAACAATACCCAATAAAGCCACTTTCCACATGTTGCAATTCTTGTAGTGCCATGTTATAGGCATTCACAATCTTGAGCAACAGGTGTTACCAGAAGTTTATTAAATGGAGCCATATGGGTAGGCAACCTTTATTTTGGCATTCATTCTTTCCCAACAACAGTCAGTGCAACAAGAAAAATACATTCGAAATAAATACTTAACACCATAGCATGCAGATGGATATACAAGCGGAGAGAGCATAAATTTCATGTTTATTTTATTGAAACCATTAACTATGAATTGGCCCTCGGAAATTAGCCAATGCCTACGTTTCAACCATCTGTAACAGCTTGCTTGCAGAAGCCACAAATAAACATAGGATGTTTTAACAATTTCTATTTCAATTATTCTGCTTTTACAACTTGCAAGCCATGCAACATTGGTTACATTTCTGAAATAGCATAAAACATTAGAAATAAATAATAATAAAGCTGACACTCTTTTTAAAAATAATACTAATAACAGTATCCAGACAATGTACCAGTAATACCTTAAGAAATCCAAGTTACCTTGGCATGTTCAAGTAATAAATCATCTCTTCCTAAACCTGGTCCAATGACAACTGAGTGAAGTCGTGGTAACCAGCTTTCTACCTCACGCACAGCATCAGGGCTGTCACTAAAAAGAAACATCAAATGATGCAAATAAAAAAATCAGTCTTCCAGTTTACCACTGTACCATTTTTCTTTCTATGCATCTACTAGTAGCACACATAGAAATTTTCCTGAAAACACAGATCATCACATTCATATGATTAAAAATGTTAACATCCAGTACTTTTTAAAAACAATTGGGATATCAATTTATTCCTATGGAAGAAGCATGATGCACTGCAATAGAACAAGAGGGATAGGGGTAGGGAATACATTCTACATCTCGTAAGAGCCGCTCCCAATATTACACTTGTAAAGAACTATATTCTGGTTAACGGTATTGATTTTTGGATGAAAACTGAACCCGTCACAGTATGTTTCACAATTTAAGATGCTGGTTATTACCTATCAAGTCCTTCACAACAAAGGATCTTGTTATTTGAGTGACTGTCTTTCTTAGTTTTTACCCATCCCATAAAATTAGCTTCCAAGCTCATATAATATTTACAATGTAAAGCACATGCATTAAGTAAAGCACCTTTACTTAATTCTTGAAATTTTCAGGCATTGCTGAAAATTTGTTAAAGCATTACATTTAATTATTTGTTAAAGCATTACATTCTGCTTTAACAAATCGGGGTGGGGATGGGGGGTGGGGTGTCTGATTTACAGTTTGAACTCAGCCTAAACAAAAATCCAAGTAGTTCTGGGCTTTTTTATTGAGTTATCACTATTTATGGGAGAAAAGAGTTACTCTGTTTTGGGTACCCTTTCGCAGGGTTTAACACAGAGTTTCTCGATGATACGAACATGTCACTAAAAAATTATGAGTTGGAATGAACTTTTTTCAGTTAAGATCCTGAGTTATATAGCAGCTGGCTAAGTATGTACTTTTTTTCATATCCAAAGAAAGACAGAATACTTACAGAACTGGATGAACTATAAGCTCTGGACTGTAAGATTTTATTACAGTTGCTGCATCTTTGGTACAAAATACATGTGATAGGTCTGCCCCCTAAAAAATGAACATATTTGCAATCATTAATAACATTTAACATTTCTGAAAATTATATATTTTTCTCTCTTGATTTTAGGCTGAAATTCAACATTCTCAGGTTTCTCTTTTCTTTCTATTCCCCAATCTTAAATAAAAGAAGTAAATCTCACTAATTTTAATAATAATAAAAAAAACCTGTTCTGGATTAGGAATAAACATACTTTCTAAATTTAAAAGCCAATACCTAAAACTCCCTTACTTTATTAATAATAAAAGAATATATTCAAAGTTAGGTGTGAATATACAAGGACAGTTTCTCCCTATGATGTTTGCAATGCAGCCAATAAAAAAATTAAATATACTTCTGAACCAACTTGTTATAAAATAAATACAGGTGGTCCTCAACTTATGACCACAATTGAGCCCAAAAATGTTGTTGCTAAGTGGATTTTGCCCCATTTTATAACCATTCTTGTCACAGTTGTTAAGTGAATTACTGCAGTTGTTAAATTAGTAATACGGTTGTTAAATAAATCTGGCTTCCTCAATGACTTTGCTTGTCAGAAGGTTGCAAAAGTTGATCACGTGGCCCCAGAACACCACAAATGTCATAAGTATGAGCCAGTTGCCAAGCGTCTGAATTTTTATCATGTGACAAAGGAATGCTGCAATGGTTATAACTGTGAAAAAAACAGTCATAAGTCACTATTTTCAGTGCCATTGTAACTTTTGAATGGTCACTAAATGAACTATTGTAAGTCAAGCATCCAATGATGGTCCAATTGGATGGTCCAATTATATGACTGTTCTGATTTAATCGATAACTAAATCCAATACTTATCCCTCTCCTGTGCATGGTGTTTTATATAAATGTCAGAAGCTTTCTTCTTCTTCTTGGCATAGTGCTCCTGGACCACTTGCCAAATTTATGAAGTAACAAGTCAGGGCCAGAACTTCACAAAGGAATCAAATTTGAAACACAATCGGTTAGAATACCCAGTCCAACATGAATAAATTAAATTCTCCAATCCATCAAGAAATTCATGCTTCATGATTAATGAGCAACTTTAGCAATTACTATTTCCAATAACATTGTAGACACTAGATAACCAACATCTACATCTGATGATCCAAATGGATATTAAAATTTACAGATGCAATGACCTACATAGTTACTATCAACACACTAAAACAATGTTTCTCAACCTTGGTAGCTTGAAGATGGGTGGACTTCAACTCCTAGAATCCCCCAGCCAGCAGCGCTGCTGGGGGATTCTGGGAGTTGAAGTCCACCCATCTTCAAGCTTCCAAGGTTGAGAAACACTGCACTAAAATCTCAGTTTGCTGAATAAATTAGACATTTAACCAATACAAAACTATCATTTATGTCTATTATTGGGAACAGAGTTCAACACACTTTTTAAATAGTTCAGCTGTGTGTTTAATTCTGTGGAATAAAGAACATTAATTTTACTCCATGCAAATGTAAGAAGAAACATACCACTTTGAGAGCAGAAATTGCAGCAAAATATGGTGCCCCTGTATACCTGCATATGAAGAAAAAAACAAGAAATATATACTTTGTTAAAAATATGATGATAAACTTGTACCACAATGTGTTCATGTGAAATATGAAAGTGGAAACATCACATCACTTATCAATTTATTTCTACTGATATTTTCTTGATGTAACACTTTTGTCAAATATAGTAAATCTAACATTGCATTGCCTTTTCACAAAACTATTAACATTGTACAATATGCAGTTATTCTAACATAAATTATTTATATTCACTTTTAAACTTCAGATATAGAATGTGACAAGAACACCCTAAATTACTGATTATCATATACTTTGAGTATACACACAAAACAGAAACTAATTAATAAAAGTTCATGTTCCATACATTTTTAAATTAAAATTTTAGTAAATATTTCATACTTTCCACTTGATTGTGCTATCATGATACATACCCCAAAAACATTTCTGCATTTTCTTCCTTAACAGTATTGCTTTTTATGAGATACTAATTTACATAATAAATTGTAGAATTGCAGTTAGATGACTCCAAACAGAACTCTTATGAAGCTTTCACTGATTTAGAAGGCTAACATTGTATTAATTATAAATAGGATACTCATTTATCACTCTATTTTGTTTGTGTGTTCCAATATTCCTTTTAATGAACTTAGTGAAAACCATCACTTACACAGCCATTATCAAAATTATCACTCTAATTTTCTAATGATAAAAATGGAGTCATATTCCAACAATGCAGAAATATGGCAGAGATCAGGCCAATGTATTTTTTTTCCTTTCTGTCATTTTCTCCAGACCAAAATGTAACATTCAATTAAAGCAGTAACCTTTCTAGTTAGAATCAAGCTACATTTGCAACATATTGCTTGACAGTAATATCTACTGTATATTTGGTACGCACAAAAGAAAGATGCCCTTGATATACCTCTAAAGGCTAAAAGGCTGAATTCGCTGTGACACCTTTATTGAAGATTAACACAATGTCTATGTTCCTAGGTATGTAATAGCAATATGTGTTGTTTTATTTGAAGACAACTACTTCCGTGCAAGAAAAGAAAATCTTCTAAAATTGAAAAATATATTTTTTTTAGAAATGGCACAAATAAGTAAAAATGGTAAAATGATTGATATGAAAGTGATACAAGTAAAAAACAAAGATAGGCAGTAATGTCTGAGATAGAATAGTACCAATATATATTTATACATTTTTATTTAACTTACTCTTGGCATCCTCCAACAATTCCTATTCGTCCATCTTGGCCTTTATGTTTTTTGGCAGTTAAAGGAGGAATAACATTTCGCACCAATTGAAATATATTTTCCATTTCCTTTATGGAATGTGTTTTGTGAACTGAAAAAGATCTCTCTATAACTGGAAAAAATAAGGACATTTAAATAAATATTACAAATATAAACTTTTAAGATTAGTATGTTAAAAGTATGTATTCACAACCAGAATTTGTTTCTAAAGAAATTGCCGTGTTAAATGTGTTTGTATTGTAAATATATTTTAACCACCCAAATTCCACATAATCTTATTAACAAACAACAGTGTACCATGTGTGTTGTTTATCAGTCTGAATAAACCACACTTATTTCCCTCCCCCCAAACCACCAACCTTCTAACAGATATAAAAACATTTTTAGTTTGGCAAATCAATTGTTTTAGTCTTCCACATCTAGGTATGTTTCCCAATTCCTTACTTGGGTATGGTCACACATACTTGGAAGCACAACAAATCTCTTAAGAAAAGACATATATTTTATTCTGAGATATCTCACTCACTATGAAACAGAGGTGTGTAAAATGTACTGCATACTCTAAACATATTCATCTAAGTATTTCATGTCAAACAATCAAGTTCCGGTTTGTTTGTTTTTCAACTTGTCTATTAATGATTTCCAAGATGTAGTATGTAGTATATCAGGAAGAAATGCTAATGAGAAAAAATTGAGATGTCTTAACTGTAACCTAAATGTTCTCTTATAAGTAGCTCCAGGCAGCTGATTTTACATAAATTAATTTTTCAAGCCAAGTTTACTTGTTGCATGCCAACTATCTGAAATAACACTGTCACTCCGGAGAACCCAGACTAACCAGATGTATAATATGTATTGACTTCTATCTTATGCATGAGACTGCAAAGAGAAAATGCTACAACTGACTAAAAACATATTGCTTAAGAATGAAAAAATGCCAAGAGGTAGATGCTAATTCAACAGTTAGGCTCACAAATCATGTTAACTTTTCTTGTATTGAATAAGCAATGATGTTCACGTGTGAATTTGTGAAGTAAGCTCGGTTGAGAGAACAACTGGCCCAAAGTCATCCAACTGGCTTTCATGCCTAAGGCAGGACTAAAAGCCTAGTTTCCAGGGAAGTATTTAATTACTACACCAAACTAGTATTATTTTTACATTGTACTTGTACAATGAAGCTTACTAACCAATCATAAGGCATTCTACAAGTTCAGAATGAAACTCTGAATCTTAATGGAGGGTTCACTAAAAGAGAATATATGTAGGGTTGAATTGTAGAGTCCTCTAAGTTTGATTGTTTCCATACAGACATTTCAGTACCCAGCTAGGTAACATCATCAGTGCAAATAAGTGTGATTTTGCTCCCTGTTCACCCCACCGAAACTGGCAGGGCCAATGACTGTATATAAAAAGCAAGTAAAGCCCACATTAACTCACACTGATGATGTTACCTAGTATCAAGGTACTGAAATATCTGCGAGCAAACAACCAAAATCAGAGAACAAAAACAACTCTACAATTAATGGAGGCTCAAAATTTATTTATGTCAAATATATAGAGCTGGATTCAGTTGCAGTTACCTCTAGTCCTGAAGAACATCGACACAGTGAGCTATGAGAGTTGTTCTAAAACCAGTTTTCAAATTCTGTTCCATAGCAGGTTGGAATAAGATGATAAGAAACTTGTGCACTGCCAAAAATCTTCTAGACCTCTATGGGTGGAAATATTAAGCATATCCTAACATGCAATTTCCAAGGGTAACAACTAAATACAATAGGATTTGCAAGCATCCTTTTCACGTTTCCTCAATTCAATCTCCAGCAATCCCTGTGATATGCAAGGTGCCACAGCAAATGTGCTGGGGGAGGAGAGGAATCAGTGACATTGCAAGCTACAAATTCCATATTCTCTTACTTAAAACTTTATTATATTACCGCGCAACTATGCAAAACCTATTGTGCATGAAAGCAGCTGTAGGAGCATCTTAACAGCTGCTTTATAATGTAAATTTAGTAACCAGGAAGTGCTTTCACAGTTACCTAACATAACTGTGCATTTCTTCTAGCACTAATAACCATGTATGACTGGAAGATCATCAAATTTGCCAAGGCAAATTCTGAGAATCAGTGCTAATAGTACTGCTAATAGAAACAATTAATCTGAAAGATTTTAATGCTTAATGAAGTTGCAAAGCCCTCAAATGTAGAATAGGATATTTGGGGGAGGGAGAGCTAGGGAAGATTAGCGAAAGAAATGTACTAAAGGGAAATAGTGCTACTGGCTGCTATTGCCAGCTTTGCTATTTATGAAAAAGAAACATTCTTCTCCCATCTAGTATTAGGAAGGATTGATGAAACCCTTCTATCTGCTAGAAGCTATGATTTTTTTAAAGTTTAAAACAAGTCACTTTTTAATAGGTCACTGTATTAGGCAATTACTTATGCAGTATGCTTATAGTTTTTTTAAGTAGTTAATTTTGATTCTAATGAAGATGTTATATTATTTTAAATATTTAATTCCAGAAGTTAACAAGCACTGAATATCTACCTACATGGATTTTACTATCTGTATATATAATTTCATTTTAAACATCTAAAATAACTTAGTGTTCTACATCTTTAAAAATGCTGAACTATGTGAGCTACACATTACAACCATGTATTCCAAAGCAATGCTCAAGAAAAGCATAACTTTAAATAAACTCCATATCTACAGAAACATTTTTATTCTCTGAGCATCTCTGATTTTTAGAAAGATGCACAACTATGTGCACAAAACTTAATTAGTACTGTAGATCCACGTATCATGAATGGAAGAGAATGAAGTACCTATGGGTGGAGATAATGTTGCTGTCACAGAATTATAGTTAAAATTTTCTCCATACGATCGGTGATTTGATCTTTGCGAAGGATTACTTGGTACAAACTGGGACCTTTGTGATACTGTGGAAGAGATTCCTGCTAACATCTGTCCCAACATCTGCAACATCTGGAGCTCCCTGGCATGCTCTGCTTCACGTCGTTTGTCTTCAATTTTAAGTCGTTGTTCTTCATATTTATAAAACTTCTCTTCAGTATCCATACTTTGTTGCAAAAACTTTTCCATCATTTTGTCCAGTGTTAAATTTGCATGTCGCTTTTTTGATCTTTTAGCCTGAGATAATAACGGTGGTGCATTGGTGTGAGCATTAATTTGTTTAAAACCTAAAAACAAAAGCAAGTTAATTTTAATAAAGAAGTAATAAAAGTGTCCCTAAAATTTCATATTCATCTATGTCTCGTTCCAAATATTCATTACTGACTTTAGTCTACTCTAATGTATTTCTCATAGAAATTAACTGAGTGCAGTTCATAAAATATTACCCTATAATCAATCCGTCTTTCAGATTCTGTAAGGGTGTTCTGATTTTGAGGCAAAATCTCTAAAAAAGTGCGCTTATTTTAATCACAATACCAATGTTCAGGTGGTTTACAACACAACTCTAATAGCACTTCCACTGCAGATAATTATCAGCAGCTTATTTCTTGCTTTTAGAGATCTATTACAAGGAATGTAACTATACATTTTGTCTTTGATGTAACTTCTGTGTAAAAAATTGCATACACTATCAGACCTAACCTGTCAATTTATGAAGCCAGAATTAGGTAAAGTAAAAAACACAGAGTAGAACACCACTGTTGCTTTCTATGAATAATTTTTTAAAAATGTTTGCAGAAAATAGCATTAATAAATATATAATACTGTTCCTTTTACACAGAATTTGTGTAAAAGGCCTATCAAAAATTAGCCTGAGGGGTAAATGGGTATTAAAACTGAGGATAAAGAGCATGTTTTTATATTGTGGGTTTTCCATCCTTCAATAAAAGAAATGGATCAAAAGTTCACTGGGATCCCAAGACATGTCTGATTTCTTTATGGATAAATGAATGTGACAGTGACCTCAGGAATATGAACTGTATTGTTTAGAGAATTCAAGACAGATATTTCCAAGGTGTTACATCATTTTTTGACTCCCTGCTGCTACTGGGTAACATTTTAATATGTAGTTGGCATATACAGGGCAAGGATTCTTTCTGGTTAAGTTAAATGAAGCACTTATGAAGCATCGTTACTAGGAATTCATTTTAAAATGAAGTGCAGTTATTATAACAAATGAAATTTACTAACATTTACTAATGTTAACCAGCCTCTGTCTAGGAGGGTAATTAAAACCTTTTCAGTGAAAAGAAAGGGAGGATTATCTGAATGATTCATGGTCTAAATTGTGTGATTAGGTAAGGCTCCTTATCGTTTTCTAGACCAGATTTCTTCAACATATTGCACCATATCTACTACCTCTCTCAACGTGATGGTGGGGACAGAAATCCAACTCATTTGGGAATGACAGCTTGGAAATGCTAATTTAATCAAGAACTTGAGAGAAAGGTGACAGCTGTGCTGAGCCTTTTTCTTAAGATCTCTGAAAGACAAAGGTGGGACTGAGAATTTAACAGAGAAAATATGTTTATGGCGTGCAATCTTTGGCATATCCACTTTTAGGCCAACCTCACAGAGCACAACAGAGCTTTCTGTAATCTGTGGCAACTTTCAAGATTTGTGGATTTTAACTCTCAGAATTCCCAAGCCAGCATTAACTCCACCCTCTTAAGGTTGCAAAGCTTGAGAAACACTGCTCTAAATGGAAATCCATAGTGATCTATGTATAACCTATATATACCTACACCATCCATACATGACATGCCCACGCTCAATGCAACTGTTTCTGGGCAAGCAGCAAAAGATTGCAACCTCAGTCTCCAGGTAGCAAACACAAGAGTGAGGTGCGAGACCTTAACTAAGGTAGGGGAAGCATCTCACCCACAACCAACTAGGGTACCGGCTGGAAATATCAAATCAAAGATAGATCCTTCACCCTCCCTTTTTTGTAGCATGGTCAAACTCACTTTCGGCAGGTGGTAGCGGGATGGCGAAGGGGGGGCATTCCACTTTGATGGCGTGGTCGGCGTAAGAAGAGCACTCGCCCGAGTCGTCCTGGAAGTTGTCCGGCGGGGAAGACTCCAGCTCGCCACCATCCTCGTCTTCCTCCTTGTCGTCGTCGTCGTCGTCGTCGTCCTGCTCCTCCAAGTCCGCCTGGCGGCTGTTGCGGAGGCCGCTCTGTCTGGCGGAAGGGGGCGCGGCGAGCACCATGGCGGGCTGGTGGTGGCTTTCGTCTCCGGCCGCCGTCGCCGTCGCCACCACCATCACCCCCGCGGGGGTCAGAGGCCGCTCGGCCACGCCGTGCCCCTCCAGGCCGTGCCCGCCTTGCCTGCAGCTGAGAATGCGGTCCATCTCTTCGTAGTATTTGCAGATCTTGCGGGCGTGCCCGTTCTTCTTGAGTCCTTCGCGGGCCTGGTAGTACTGGCGCTTGAGGCCCTTGATGCGGATGCGGCACTGCTCCGGGGTGCGTTCAAAGCCCAGCTCGGCCAGGCGGCAGGCCACGTCCCGGTACACATGGCTGTTGCGAAAGTTGCCGTCCAGCGCGCTCTGCACGTCCGCCTCCCCCCAGATCTCCAGCAGCGCCCGCGTCTCCAGGTCCGACCAAAGGAAGCCCCGCGTGTTGGTGATCATCCTCCTGCCCGCCCAGCCGGGGGCCGCAATGGCCGCGCCCGCCCGGGCAGGGAGGCGAGGAGCGCGGCCGGCCGGCAGAGAAACGGGCGGGGGAGTGGGAGGGGGCGGCGGGGACCGCGAGCGAGAGGGGGGGATCAACGCCCACCGCGCCGCCCGGCCACCCCACCCTCTGCGCGGCTTGCCGGCGGCGGCAGAGACCCCGGCGTTGCGCCGGGCCCCCTCCTCATCCCTTCGCGGCCGCCCCCGCCCCCGCCCGTTCGGCCCCGAGCAAAACTTTCCCCACGCCGCCGGGCTGCAGCCGGACCCCGCCGTCGCGGCTTCGGTGGAGGCGGCTGGCGCAGGCCTGGCCTTTCAGCCGCCGATGCGGTGGCCGCTCCCTCGCCTCGGGCTGGGGGAGCTCGGGAGCAGCGGCGGTGGCGGCGGCGGCACTTGGAGGGCCGATTGCCGGTTCATCGCCTCACTTGCCCGGCGGCTTCGGGGATGGCCCGGCGACGGTGGCGGTATGAGGTCGGCGCCGAGGAGAAGCTCTGAGCCGGCCTCCTCCTTCTCCTTCCCCGCTCCGGAGGGCCCAAGCCAGCCCGGCGTCACCGCGCATTGCACTCGGTCCCCCTCCCCTCCGTGCGCGCACACCAGTCAGTCACCAAGTTCACGCACAAAGCGGCGGAGACTCGGCGGTCACAACTTCAACCGCGGAGAGGGAGCGGGCGAAGACAATGCGCCTCGCGCGAGGCCTCGCCCCCCTCCACTCCCCCATCCCCAAAACAGGGTGGCTCCCTCGGGGTCCGGTTCCGACCGACGGACCTAAACCCTACGGCGGTAAGGAAGAAAATGGGATTTCGGACCCAGATCCACAAAAAAGCCGGCAGCACTCTTTAAACCCTGCCTCCCTCGACCAGACTTCCTTTCTGCAAATAAAGGAGGCGTGCATGTGCGGCTACAGAATAAAAGGGAAAAAAATGCAGACACTCCATTAACGTGCCCCAAACAAGGTCGATCCAAAAGAAAACACACGCCATTTAGATACACGGTAGTTTTCCGAAAAAAAGCTGGTTTTCAACCAAAGTCCAAATGATTATGTTATCTTTTGCGCCTTTTTTTCACCAGGACCTCTTATAAAGAACACCATAGAAATATGTTTCCTTGAAAAATACTGGATAAAATCCCTTAAACCGCAGTTCAGTGAAGAAATCACCACTGAAGTCACGCATACATGCCAAACCCTAAATTGTTATTTACAAAGCACGTTGGCTGAGACCGCAGAAGACATTACAACCAAATGCAAACAATACATTATTTTGGTTCGAAGTGTTACGCAACCCGAACGATTGATCTCAGGCGAATTTGCCACGCCTCCGCCGAAAGCAGTTTGAGAGATGGTGCAGCTGGCTTCTCTAACTACTTGCGCATAAATTATTCGGGGTAAGCGGCGCTAGGAAACGTCTGAAATGTGGGTCTGCCCCATGAAAAGCCAATTCACTAGCTGCGAAAAATGGCATATGGCACAACGTTCAATACAGCAAATCCGGGCATAGGTACCAAAAAAACTACGCGTAACGTAAGAAGACCAAGATAAATTTAATCCCACTGAGTGGCCCTTTCGGGATCTCGAAACAAATCGGTTTTCCTTTGTAGCTTCAAGTTTTCATTTTGAGTGTGACTAAGGCCAAGAACTTTTTTTTTTTTTTGGCCTTAAAATTTCTCCGCGATTTTGCAGAGCAAAGATTGTGGGGTGGCCTTCATCCCTTAATGGGAACATTTACTTTTTTTTTACTCTGCCTTGAAACATGCCCAAATGAATCCACTTCTCACCGAATCGAAGCTCCACACCACATACTGCTACATACTGCTGAGTAATCATCATTGAACTCAATGGCGTTTACTTCTGAGTAAACACGAGGTGTCAAAGCAAGTTTCTTTCTCTGCCCTCCATTAAAAGATAAATGTTCTATCTTTTAAAGGTGTTCTATAAAGCAAGAGATGCAGTAAGAGAGGTAGACAGTTCGGGAATGCAAGCTGTCCAGGCAACCTCATACAATATGACTCCAGGTGACTAACTGGAAACAGGCAGTGTTTTTGGCGTGCTATGCATTCATTGCTTGCAGCAGCCGACGCGTAAAAGGTGCGCGTTACGCACGTGAGATAAACGCTCCAAAGACGCTTCATACCTTTTCCATATTGCAGCCACAATATAATCAGTGCCGAGGCCAATGCTACGGTTACATAAGCGCCCCTTCCCCAAATCATTCCCGCGGAGAAAAGCGCCACCTGGGTCCTCCTTGGCTATCCCGCGGCCCCGCCAGTTTGCTGGCTCTGCGCTCCTCTCCTTCTTACCTCGCCACCAAGCGGGGCTCGCACCACCTCCTGCCAACCACACAAGCGAGCGGCTGACACAAACCATCAGCGCTCCTTCCGGGTGGACAGCCCAGCCGCGGGAATGGGAACGGCCCAGGCCACCCTCTTCCCGCCCTCTCCTTCCGCAAGAGCGCCGCCCACTGAAAAGCCAATCGTAGGGCCTTTCTTTCATTGATTGACATCCTCAGAAAGTTGATGGGTAAAGCAACGCGACAATAGGTGCAGGATTATTATTATTTTTTTTAGATCCGAACCAAGTTGTTTATTTTAAAAAGATATGGAGTTAAAACATAAAAGGAGTGCGTTGATATAAGTTACCTTGAACAGTATATGCTCTGCCCCTCCTCTTTTCTATTTAAAGGGAAGAGATCCGAAATGGATCACCCATAATTCTGTTTTAATTCTCAAACTTTTTAATACTTTTTTTTGAAAAAAAATACTTTTTTGTTCATAAAGAATTGAGCTTTTATACAGGTGAAACTCAAAAAATTAGAATATTGTGCAAAAGTTCATTTATTTCGGTAATGCAACTTAAAAGGTGAAACTTTTTATGAGATAGACTCATTAAATGCAAAGCGAGATAGTTCAAGCCTTGATTTGTCATAATTTTGATGATAATGGCTTACAGCTCATGAAAACCCCCAAATTCACAATCTCAGAAAATTAGAATATTGTGAAAAGGTTCAATATCCTAGGCTCAAAGTGTCCCACTCTAATTAGCTAAGTAAGCCATAACACCTGCAAAGGGTTCCTGAGCCTTTAAATGGTCTCTCAGTCTGGTTCTGTAGGAATCACAATCATGGGAAAGACTGCTGACCTGACAGTTGTGCAGAAAACCATCATTGACACCCTCCATAAGGAGGGAAAGCCTCAAAAGGTAATTGCAAAAGAAGTTGGATGTTCCCAAAGTGCTGTATCAAAGCACATTAATAGAAAGTTATGTGGAAGGGAAAAGTGTGGAAGAAAAAGGTGCACAAGCAGCAGGGATTACCGCAGCCTGGAGAGGATTGTCAGGAAAAGGCCCATTCAAAAGTGTTGGGGACTTTCACAAGGAGCGGACTGAGGCTGGAGTCAGTGCATCAAGTGCCACTACACACAGACGGATCCTGGACAAGGGCTTCAAATGTCGTATTCCTCTTGTCAAGCCGCTCCTGAACAGCAAACATCAGAAGCGTCTTACCTGGGCTAAAGAAAAAAATAATTGGTCTGTTGCTCAGTGGTCCAAAGTCCTCTTTTCTGATGAGAGCAACTTTTGCATCTCATTTGGAAACCAAGGACCCAGAGTCTGGAGGAAGAATGGAGAGGCACACACTGCAAGATGCTTGAAGTCCAGTGTGAAGTTTCCAGTCTGTTGATTTGGGGAGCCATGTCATCTGCTGGTGTTGGTCCATTGTGCTTCATTAAGCCCAAGGTCAACGCAGCCGTCTACCAGGAGATTTTGGAGCACTTCATGCTTCCTTCCGCAGATGAGCTTTATGGGGATGCTGACTTCATTTTCCAGCAGGACTTGGCACCTGCCCACACTGACAAAAGTACCAAAACCTGGTTCAATGACCATGGGATTACTGTGCTTGATTGGCCAGCAAACTTCCCTGACCTGAACCCCATAGAGAATCTATGGGGCATTACCAAGAGAAAGATGAGAGACATGACCCCGAACAATGCAGAAGAGCTGAAGGCAGCTATTGAAGCATCCTGGTCTTCCATAACACCTCAGCAGTGCCACAGGCTGATAGCATCCATGCCATGCCGCATTGAGGCAGTAATTGATGCAAAAGGGGCCCAAACCAAGTACTGAGTACATATGTATGCTTATACTTTTCAGAGGTCTGATATTGTTCTATGTACAATCCTTGTTTTATTGATTTCATGTAATATTCTAATTTTCTGAGATTGTGAATTTGGGGTTTTCATGAGCTGTAAGCCATAATCATCAAAATTATGACAAATCAAGGCTTGAACTATCTCGCTTTGCATGTAATGAGTCTATCTCATATATTAGTCTCACCTTTTAAGTTGCATTACTGAAATAAATGAACTTTTGCATGATATTCTAATTTTTCGAGTTTCACCTGTATATGCTCACTAATGCTAACTCAATTGCCTTGCTTTAGATTTTAATGGCAAGTTATTTCCAATTAATTTTGCTTGCAATTCCAATCTTCTTTTGAAGCAAAATTTAGCTCCGGTACAGGAATAACTGGTTTATAATAACATAGTTATGAATTATAATACCTTAATAATAACTATTTTAATCATGTGACTGACCTATATTGTAATTAAGTTACTAGGTTCACAAACACAGATCCAATTGGGATTAGTCACCTGGCCAGAGGTTTAGTCTTCCAAGCTTCCCTGCTGGAGCCCATCACCAGGGAACCAGTGGTGAGTTTCAATTTTTTTTTACTACCAGTTCTGTGGATGTGGCTTGATGGGCGTGGCAGGGGAAGGATACTGTAAAATCTCCATTTCTTCCCCAATCCAGGGGAAAGTTACTGGAAAATCCCCATTTCCTCCCGATCAGCTGGGACTCGGGAGGCAGAGAATAGACGGGGGCGGGACCAATCAGAGGTGGTATTTACCAGTTCTCCAAACTACTCAAAATTTCCGATACCGTTTCTCCAGAACTGGTCAGAACCTTCTAGCAGAATGTTTCCTGAGGATGGGCTCCAGCACAAATCAGAAAGCTCAGAAGACTAAACCTCTGATCACAGTGACCAACCCAGATTAGATCCTGCAACATTATTCTGGGACATGTATATTTTCCTTCATTCATGACAAACAGATGTTCACCATGGTTTGACACAAGGCTGAGGGAAATTTGGACATGAAATTGATTATGATTGAGCACA